TAATCTTTCAGTGCTTTTAACGAGTTCCTTAACTAATATCAAAGAATTGATCATTTTTTTTGTAATAAAACATGAAAATAGTGGAAATAACCGTTTTTGGAGTGTAAAAAATTCTTTGGATGTTTTAGATAAATTATGTGCTTTTGATGCTTTTGATGGTCCTTTTTGGTGCAGTTGACAGTTTGGACTTTTCCACTCTTTACACATATCCGCACAATCTTATCAAACAAAAGTTTTCCTATTTAATTAGATGGTCGAATTTATTTGCTGCAACTTATATAAAGCCTTTTTCTCAAACGAGAAAGGTAAATATGCTAGATATACTTACTGGAGGTGTGACGAGATGAATAAAGCCATACATTTTCTCCTTGTCAACACTTATGTACGTTTCGGCAGTAAAGTGTATCGACAGATTGTAGGTATTCCTATGGGCACCAATTGTGCCTTTTAATAGCCGACTTGTTCCTGTACTGTTATAAATCACAGTATATGGCCAACCTCAGTAAAGACCCGCCTAAATTCCATTTAATTGATCAATTCAACAACACTTACCGTTATCTTGATGATATTTTTTCGTTAAATAATCAAGAATTCTGTAAATATACTGCCAATATTAAATTTTACTCACAGGAACTTACCTTAAATAAATCTAATATTAACAGCAATAACTGTCCTTTCCTAGATTTAGATATTCCAGTTTTACACCAGAAACTCTATACAAAAATTTACGACAAAAGGGATGATTTTTCTCTCCCTATTGTTAATTTTCCTTTTTTGACGGTGATGTTCCTCTGTCACCGTCTTACTGTGTTTCTATATCCCAACTCGTTCGCTATATCCGTGTCTGTATTGACGTTTAAGATCTCATTGAGCGTAATCTATGTATTACTGGTAAATTATTAAGTCAGAGATTTCGTTACCACACATTACTTAAAAGCTTTACTACATTCTTCCATAGAGACACATTTTGGTTTGCAAGTTTGGCTGTACCTATAAAAAACGTTTTCAGACGGAATAGCACATCCTAGATTTTACGGTGATGTTGTTTACCGAGCCCGGACATTTATATACGATCCGAGTTAACTTATCAATCCTTTAAATAAACTTATTCTAAAAGGTTACCAATTCAACAGGTCCGAGGACACAATTATCTACCTTCAATTTTCGTTGTCCACAAATGTAGTTCCCTTAAATTTCAGTGTATTTTTTCTTATTTTTTTTCTTTGTCTTTTTTTGGAATTTTTCATTATTTGTATTGTATTAAGGTGAAAAATAAGATTTCAAATATACTGTCTGAAAAACATCTTTTTGAAATTTTCTGTAGAAATGAGTGATTTGGTCAGGTAAATAAAGGTGTAATTTCCTCTTCTCGGAAGCTCTCTGGCTTCATCCTTACCGGTGTCATTATGTTTGGGGTAACCAGGAGAGAATGAGCTGATAGACTTTTCTGAATTTTTTATATGTTTTGGGATAAAAGTCAAACTTTATGCACACCAAATCTTATTAGAATAGAGCAAGTGGAATTTGTTTAATCGCCATTACGTTTTAATAAACAAATAGGGGAAAATAACCGTAATTAGATTTTTGGATATTGTTTTTATTGGTATAAAAATTGATTTTGTTATCAGTGAATTAAAATCATACTAAATAGTATTGTTATACACATATGCACTTTAACGGAACTACAATCTGTCGATACCTTTATATAAGCATTGCACAAGTCATGTTTTTCTCTTACTGTTAATGAAGTCTTTACACTAAATCCATTGGATGTTGGATGTGCACTGATTGATATTTAAGTCTTAGATACATGATGTTTTTTATAACTTGTTATTGGCTTTGAACTAGCTGTCAGTAACTGCGAGTACTCTCAGATCTGTACTTAAGTGTCTTTTGTGTTGTTAGGGATGAAAGATGGATAAATACCTGCCACGTCCGGTCTGTGTTTTTGCTTGATGTTTTTCTGCTTGGTATCTATCTGATGAGTTAAGCCTTTTTCATCTGATTTTGATAGTTTGTTCTTATGTTGTGCTTTTAGATCGCTGTCCCAGGTTACGGGAGGGTTGAGCGCTCACAAACATGTTTAACCCCGCTACATTCTTTATGTGCCTGTCCCAAGTCAGGAGCATGTAGTTCGGTGGTTTTCGTTGGTTCATCTGTCATATTTGTTTTTCGTTATTGTTTTGTTATAAATTAGGTCGTTAGTTTTCTCAATTGAATTGTTTCATATTTTTCATGTCAGGGCCTTTTATAGCCAACTATATATGGGTTTTTCTCATTGTTGAAGGCCGTACGGTTGCCTATATTTGCTTACATCCACTTTATTTGAACTTTGGTGGATAGTTGTCTCATTGGCAATCATACCACATCTCCTTTTTTTTATATAGTGTCCAGTTGGGATCGTGTTTATTTCGAGTAAATTGATCAGGTCTTTTAGCTTTTTTCCTGCAAATATGATGCAAAATGTAAACAAACAGAAATTTTTTTCTGGTAAGACGTCAAACCGAATCTTAAAATAAACCTTAGATACGTAATTTTTTATAAGTTGTTAATTGCTTTTAACTAGCTGTCAGTAACTGCGAGTACTCTCAGATCTGTACTTTGTTAGGGATGAGGGATGGATAAATACCCTGCCACGTCCGGTCTGTGTTAATGTTTGATGTTTTTCTGCTTTGTATCAATCTGACGAGTTAAGCCCTTTACAACTGATTTTTACAGTTTGTTCTTATATTGTGCAGTTACACCACTGTCCCAGGTTAGGGGGAGCCGCCACATTCTTTGTTTGCCTGTCCCAAATCAGGAGCCTGTAGTTTAGTGGTTGTCGTTTGTTCATGTCTGTCATATTTGTTTTTCGTTATAAATAGGGACGTTAGTTTTCTCAGTTGAGTGTTTCATATTTTTCATGTCAGGGCCTTTTATAGCCAACTATACGGTATGGGTTTTTCTCATTGTTGAAGGCCATACGGTTGCCTACGATTACATTCACTTTATTTGAACTTTGGTGGATAGTTGTCTCATTGGTAATCATACCTCATCTCCTTATTTTTATCTAGAAGGTATTTTTGTATATGTGATAAAAAGTTATTGTTAACCATACATTATTTGAAGTTATACAAGATGAACATATCATGAGGATGTATTTATTCCAACATGTGAAATCAAGCCATTATAATACACATACAAATGTATAAAATGCGTCCATAGTATACATGTATATCCTTACATTTATAGAAGTTCTCTAGATGTTAAAAATATTATGTTTTCATATATCTAGCAATAGAAGAACACTGTACAGATTTTATCATTATGATGATGAATCCCATCTGGCATTATTTGTTATGCAATATTTGGTCGCGCAGTAAAAGCACACTTTAATAGTTTGCGTGAATGACACTACAGACAACGCTGCCGGAAACAGCATGCCTAGTCACACTGACTTTCTGTCATCTGTAACTGGTTTTTGAACATGTATAATAAATCAAAACATGGAAACTTTGTAATATTATATATAGTATTGTTTCAAAGTATCTCATAACTAGGAAAAGAAGCCATGATAGACTAAGGCGACAGAAGCTTACATTTACCCATGTTCAAATCTCGCAAATAGATTAGGAAAAGACAAACAAAAACCAAGGAAACCCCCCTCCGAAGCTAATTCATCCTGCGTCACTGATACCACATGGGAAAACCCAATGGATACTCATTGAAAATAGCCTTAAATATATTTTTTGTTAAATGTTGAAGTAAATATAATCGATACTAAAAACTCATTTATCCATTTTACTATTGCAAAATAACTGTACCATATTTCGCTGTGTATAGTACGCAGTTGTGTATAATACGCACTTCCATTTGCATCCCTCAAAATTCGTGAAAAAAGTCGTTAAAAAAACATGAAAAAATTGTTAAAAAAAAAATAGAAAAAAACTTAAACAAAGAAAAAATTGTTAAAAAAAAAATTGAAAAAGTCTAGTTCACTGAAAAAAGCCTTTGATATGAAACTATTAAACCATGTAATCAATCTTCATTTTAGTCTATTGAATGATAAAAATAATTTATTAGATTGTTTGTTCAATCAAATCTCTTTTTGTAATATTTTTTGTTTAATTTAATAATTTGAAGTCATAAACAATAAAATGGTAGAGCTTTTATCATGTAATTAACATTTAATAATTTTATACAAGTAAAGTTAATAATTAGAGATCCCTTTTGAAATCAACGTTTGTCTAAGCTTGTCCAAGCTGATACACTGTTCAAAAAATATAAAAGAAATAATTGGAATGTTATGGAACAAAAGAAATTAAAGAACAAATATTTTTCTAAATTGATTAGCAGTAACTAAGATTCATTGATCATGTTGATTTAGAGCACTGCCTGATGTTATTATAGTGAACACCTGTCAAACTTTGACATGATTATTTAATTGCTACACATCTATACTTAATCCTCAAGTACACTTTTTTGCAACACGACGGGTGTCACATGTGGAGCAGGATCTGCTTACCCTTCAAGAGCACCTGAGATCACCCCCAGTTTTTGGTGGGCTTCGTGTTGCTTGGTCTTTAGTTTCTCTATGTTAATATATACAATAAAGAAAAAAAAAACATATAAGTAAAAAAAAAATATCCAAACCTGTCTACAGTTGTTTGATACGCATCCCCACTACCAACTACATTATGAGGTTGAAAGGGTGCGTATAATACACAACAAAATACGGTACTCCAACAAACTCTCTTTGAACACAATTTCTATTATACAAATTGTTGTTACATCCTTTAGTTTCTCTATTCTGAGATCATAATCATATACATCCCTCACAACCTTTATTTTTGAACACATAATCGTTTTGAAAAACCTGTAGCTTCGAATTTGAAAAGAAAACTGCTGCAATAACTCATAAAACATACCAAGCTTTTCTGCAACACAGTATTATTTGATATGAAATAATCATACCTAAATATGACTTGTAAGTTATTTGGTGGTATAAAAAAGTCAACACATTCCAAAAAATAATATTTAATTAAATCATACCATGGAATTAAATCATTTCATGACATCTGTAAAATAAGTGCAGAAACTTATCAATGATCTAAATCAGGCATCTTTCAACTGAATAATAACAAAAATAAAAAATCGAGCCACTATAACTATATATCAATTTAGTGAGAAAAAAACGTTTATAGTTATCATAGATCAGCATATCTTTGGTTTTTCATGAACAAAAGGATGAATGCATAGTAAATGTCCTCAAAGTTGCATAGGAAAAAAGGAGATTTGGAATTTCTCACAACCCTTACAAGGTATTTTAGTTGTTTATCTAAACACTATGTCACAATTCAAAATACCTTTAAAGTTAAGCTTTATATAATGCCTTACTTAGAATAAAATGCTTCGCTGAGCGCAGCCTGATACGACCGCATAGGTTTTTGAAACCCCCTTGGAGCAATAACCCCAAAACTCAATCCCAGCCTTTCCTTTGTAGTATGGAACCTTGTAGTACAATTTCAGAGAGATCCATACACTTAAACACAAGTTATTGTCTGGAAACTAGAAAAATGCTTGTTTTTGGCCCTTTTTTGGCCCTTAATGTTTTGGGCAATTAACCCCAAACTCAATCCCAGCCTTCCCTTTGTGATATGGAACCTTGTGGTACAATGTCAGAGAGATCCATACACCTACACACAAGTTATTGTCTGGAAACTAGAAAAATGCTTCTTTTGGCCCCTTTTGGCCCCTAATTCCTAAACTGTTGGCCCCATAACCCCTAAAATCAATCCCAACCTTTTACTTGTGGTATTAAACATTGTGGTACAATTTCAGAGCAATCGAAATACTTATACACAAGTTATTATCCTGAAACTAGAAAAATGCTTGTTTTGGGCCCCTTTTGGGCCCCTAATTCCTAAACAGTTTGGACCATCATCCTTAAAATCAATCCCAACCTTCCTTTTGTGGTATTAAACCTTCCTGAAAAATTTCATAGAGATCCATTCACTTACACTAAAGTTATTGTTCGGAAACCAATGTGTCTTCGGACGACGACGACATCATACCATTATACGATCCCAAAAATTTTTTTGCGGTCGTATAAAAATGAACATTTGGCTTTACATCGTCCATTAGACTGTTGCAAAGAAACTCCCTGTTTTGAAGAATCATTGATAATCTATAATAAAATTTAATATGGCTGTTATTAATGTGCAAGGCTGCTAGATTATTACATAGAATATTTCTTTATCAATCTTTCATTCTGTTTTTAATTAAATCCAAACATATAATTTTCCCAGAATGTACTGAGTATGAGACCTTAGATCTGAAAGAGCTCATAGAACTTTTTTTCATATAAAATTAAAAAAAGATAAAGGATCATTCGGAACATTCATTGGCAGTGCAAATTGAACATTACTTGTGTTGTTTTCTAGTAAATGCAGTAAAACAGATAGCAATTAAGGCAACATTGATGGTGTGATAACATCAAAAATGATGTCAAAATTATCTCAATTATCACAAATATATGAAAAACTACTAAAAAGTAAAATAACAAAAATACCGAGCTCCAAGGAAAATTCAAAACGAAAAGTCTAATTGTGCATTGTTTCTTGGTATTTCTATTAAAAATCAGCTCCCAATTTCTTGGATCAACAAAACAATTTTAGCATCAGCTATGCATAGGAACTATTTTGTGTGAAATATGTACTACTTTCTTATATATTCTTCTTAAACTGGGCCCAAATTAGTGATTGTATACCATAAAGGTTTTTCATAATGATTTTATATTTTTGTTGATTTTGGGACCAAGCTAGTCTACTTTACATCCCTTGTTATTTATCTTTGGATAATAGAAACTTCAGATATCACATTATCATAACTACATTTTTCTGTCTAATTTTTTATTCACAAATGTCGAAATTCTTTGTAGTTTTTCGTTCAAAGAAAACTATCTTTGAATATAATATACTTCTAAACATGTCATTAAAAAAAAGTTAAGGAAAGTTTATCATTTTTAAAAACATCCTGATTTATAAATCTATAACTTCTCCTCAGACATTGTGACATATCTGATAATGCTAGCTCATGTCTCAAAGCTGTGATACAAGAATTACCAAGCAACTGAGCAAAGGGAAGGGTGATAAATAAATCAATTATCTTGTAACATTTGGATTTGATTTTCAGAAATTTTTTTATTTTGATTGAATGACATGGAAGACATGCAAGATAACAGTAGAGTAATTATCACTTAAGTTCTTCCTTAATTATGTAGGTTATAATTTATGGTAGACATTCTTTCTAATTTGAAGAATTATGATTCAAAATACATAACATACAAGGTGTTTCTAATTACATAAAAAAGAAGATGTGTTATGATGGCCTAAGAAACAACTATCCACCGGTGACCAAAAGATGAGGATGTAAACAACTATAAGTCACTGTACGGCCTTCAACAATGAACAAAGCCCATATCACACTGTAAATTTTAAAAGGCCCTAGCATGACAAACTATGAAACAAATGCTGAGAAATTTGATTTTACAGATAAGTTTTTAACACTGAAAGCTTCAATAGTCAGAACAAGTTATTTGCATCATTCTATATGTTTAAATTGGATTTTAACTCAACAATTATAATCAAATTTAAAACAAATCAATCTTAAACCTGATTAAATACTACTTAACATAGATGATGACATTAAAAGAAAAGATGACTTTAGCTATGCAGTATTAATACAATAATATACTCTGCCTAATGCAGCATCATGCTCTAACTATCTAGAAAACATTTTATTCATAAATGAGGAAAAGATTATAGAATTTGAAAAATATATATATACTTTCAAATGAACTAATTGTCCATTCTGTTTTGTAACTCAGTTTTGTACATATTGCAAAACCATAAATATTTAGGATATTCATGTCTCCTTTTTTTAAACAGTTGAGAACACAACAGCACAGAAAAATATATAAACCAAATTTTCAATTGCTTGTTATAAATTGATTTGAAGTGGCTGAGTTAAATGATTGTAATACCTCAATGTTGAAGGTCAGATGGACAACAAAGGTAATAAAGTCAAAGAACCAATTTATGTTGCATCAAGCATAATTTATTTTTAAACAAACTAAATAAAAAAGTCCTCAAATTTCATAAAATACAAAATATTTGCTTTAACCATACTGCCCAAACAGACATGGGAAAAATAAATAGGATATTTTGGGGGAAAAAAGAGGCTGAATTGTTTTAATATGCATATGTTTGACATTATTATAGTAACATTCTTTGAAAAGAATAACTAAAAGAACATATTGAAGTATTGACTACAAACAACAGAACTGCACCAAGTAATGGTTATATACATTAGACATTATTTCAAATCACTTTAATACTGTAAAGCTATGTATATAAAGCATAAAATTACTAATTGTAAAGGAAAATGTATATCTTTATAATGCCTATCTAAAAAAAACTGAAAGCAAGAGTATTATAGCACACACATAACATATCATTTGTGGAAAAAAAGACTAGGTTACAGAATAGTAAACAGTGGAGTCTATGAAGAGAGACAATATCTAATAGCACTACTTGTATAATTACTGATAAATATTCAATAAAAAAAATCAGATCATTTATATGATGAGTTTATATACAATGTTAAAAAGTACTGAGACCACCCTGTCCCTTCATACATCATTAAAATAGCTTAACTGGCTTTTAGGATGACCATAAACAGATTTAATTGAATGATTTAGCACCAAAACAGCACTAGCTCATGTAAAATTTAATTAAAACACAATATAAACAAAAATATTAAAATGAGACACCCATCAGGAAAAAGTATATGAATGAGAATCTTTTAAATAACGATTTATTTGATTCTCAGTTGACCTGTTGAGCACATTTATAAATTTCATTTATATCTTAATTTAAATAAAATTAATTCTAAATGTGAAAGCTTCTTGATAACATCACATGCACTCATAGAAGCTTGAGGATCTACTGGGATTATCAGCAGCAGAAAAATGTGATGGCTCTGTGTAATAAGAAAAGAAAATTTTTTTAGGGTACAGCATTTTTCAGGTTGTTTGTTTTTTTATTTCATTTCATCAACTTTTTCAAGATTTTTTTTTCAAATAAAAACAATAATGGATACCATTTTTCATAAAGAGGAAAAAAATGCAACATTAGGAGTGGGATATGTAAAAGTCTATACATTAACCATATATGTAGCTCCATAAAGGAGGAGGAGCATACCCTCACCCACCCTCCAAATCCAAGTCTTAGATTTCAACTCCCAATTACTGACATGCTCCTAAATTGTGTTTTTATTTCTTTCTATTATGCTATTTTAGTCCAAATGTAATTTAAAATGAATTCATAACAGGTTTAAAGATACATGGTCTTCAAGTTACTGAAGGTTGACTGAATTTAGTCTAAGGTTATTTTTTTAGACTATATTGTTTATTTGTCTAAATGGCCAAAATACATACAACAGAAAGATCTCAACTATTATATAGTCTACATGCATGACAACATTGATAGACCAAGTATGGATTGTTTTCATGGAAATAGGATTTTGTGCAAAATGACTATTGCACTTTTATTTTATCACAATAGTATTTGATTGTCCTCACTTTGACAATGGTAAATGGCATGATGCCAAACAGATTAATTCATGTTCTATGAACAGTATAAACTGAGTTTTCAATTTTCAAAGCCAGACAGCTATTTTCTAGCTATTGTTCCACAGAGTATAGCACTATAGAATTATAATTTGAGAAATATCATAGACAATCAAGAAGCCATTTTTAATATGGTCAAAATAGCACTTAAAGCTTTATGTCAATAACAATAAGAAAAAAAAATATAAAATGTATATAGTATATACAACAAACTTATATATTTTCTTAGAATATCAATAACAAATGGGACTGAATTTGATGACTTATTTTAATATTTACATTCAGATAATAAAGATTTAACAACTGTTTTCAAAACAATGTTTACATAATGATGTAATTATATAAAAAATTATGACTGATCAATTCATGAAAGCAAATTATACAGCAATGTAAATACAAGAAGTATTTAATGTTATGTCAAATACAAACATTCAACTACCAACTAAGAAAAATTTGCCGTCTTCAACACCATCCTGCAACTGTATATTTTTCATTAATATAATTTGCTCACAAAAATACGAATCTTAATAACCACTTGGTAGAAAATTTGTACAGCATTGGGATTTTATATGCACAATTTTTAAGAAAGTGGCTGATTTTATATTTCATTGAAAAACTGAATAATATACAAGCAATGGAAGTATACCATACATCTATATACAAATTCATATTTGACCAAGATTACATGCTGCAAGCATTTATTTTCACACTTTCTATATATTTGATGCTTTTAGTAACTGATAATTGATAGGAGAGTGGAAAGGTGTATCTTCAGATCAATCCTACCTATTTCTTAATAACAAAATATACAATTAAAAAAAAAACCAAAGCCAATATATATATATTTTGCGATATACAATCTTTTCCGCAAGTTTATTGTTTTCTGTTTAATATTAAATTTATAATTAAGATCCATTTATTACATCGGTGATCCGTTTATTTGGCAATCGCCAATGGCAGTCAGCAGGGTTTAAGAACATTTGTTGTTCGACTTTTTAGTCAAATGCGTTTTGTTAAAAATATACTTTTTCACTTTTTTGGTCTTTTGGAAAATGTTGTTTGTGCTGAATTTAGACCCCTCTAATAAGAAATTTGTTTTGCATGCACACGTATAAAAATTGCGGTTTTTATCTAACGCAATCATAGGTTTGAACGTTGTTTTCAATTTAGACTTGTTTATATATATATTTCTATATAATTTATACATCATTATGAAAGGCACTTTATGATATTATATAGATTATGTTCATTTGCCCCATTGCACAAGCTCAGGTAAAGCAATAATGACTCCATACGAGGATCTACTTCAACATTCAGATAAACATAAATATCTGTCACTTTGTTTGATTTTTTTAAGCTCAGATTAAATAAACTAATACTTCTATAGCACTTTAAAAAAAAGATATTCAGAACTATAAATCTACCAATTCATGATTTGTAAATCTTCAATACTCTTAGATATATGATATATAATCTTTTCTCTAATTCTGTGGATCCTTTGATCTCAGTCATTCATTGGTCAAAATTCATTTATGATGTCAAATTTTTTTGGCTTTCTTCAGAATTTCCTATTGTGATGTCAAGAAAAAAGGGCGACCATGTCTGATGACATCACATGGAGAGAACACATATTTTTGCAGATCAGTGAACAAGTTTGTCAACCTATGGTCCAAAAATCATTAGAGAAACAGATTCCGTCACAGAATCTTGGGCAAAATGATATTTCTCCACTCTTTAGAGTTAAATTTTAAATATTGTAAAAGCTTGACAATCCTCACATTTTAAATTTGAATATTTAAGTGCCTGTAGTGGAGAAATAATGTATCACACTTGATGCAGATGTAGAACCTATATGTGAATAAAGTTAAAGATTTACCAAATTCAGAAAAATGTTACACTTCATGTATAGAATGTTACTGACTTATGACCTCAAGTAAACAAAGCCCAGCAACACATTTAAAATATGAGTGTACATTCAATCTTCTTCAATATTGCCATTGATTTAATACATGGATTTCAACTAAGCAATAATATTTACAATATATTTTCAAATGGCAAAGAAAAAAAAAGGTATACTTGTACATATTTGAACACAAATTTGTATTTACAGCTTTCATTTTATGGACTTCTATAGATATGACATTACATATCATCTATATTAGAGTACTTCAAGTTATTCATGTATGGCACTTTCTTGTCTCCTAAGTAACTTGAACAAAGAGAAATCTTTCACATTTAAAAATTTGCAAATGTCTTTCTTAGAAAAGATTATTCTGAGTCCTTTTAGACATCCAAAGGAATAATTTGATTCATCTAACATCTTAGATTTATATTCATAAAAGATGTTCTGATTTCCGAATAAAAGTTGATGCATTGGTATATATTAACAATAATAATAAACAATTAATACTGAAAATCACATAAGGAGGGATTTAAATTATACACTTTATAAAGTGTAAAAAAATCAACAAATATTGTCAAGAGGCTAGTGTTAGGTACTTTCTAGCTATATATAGTGAATCTAAAATGGATCTAACCAAACAAATGTATAGTGTTGTTATTATCAGGTAAAAAGATCAAATACACTTTTACAGGACTTGATTGGATGCTAAACATAACCGCTAAATATAAATCGAAAACCTGTCCTCTGACCTCGTTAACGTAATATGTACAAATTTAGGTATGTACATTTGAAAGGATTTCTCTATTCTAATATGTATTAATGAAGATGTAATATCAAATACACTTTAACAGGATTTTAACAAGAAACTGATAAAAGTTAACCCCTGAATATAACTATTATCTGAAACCTAATCTTTGTGTACCCTATAAGTGCAAATATAGGTTGTAACTAATTTATCTTTCTTTACAAAAATATAAAATTCATACTGTTATGTTTTCATGGCATTATGTTGAATATATCCATTGTCTAATTTTCTTTCTTCATGAAGTAAACTATTTGACTCACTAAAAGAATCATCTGACGGTGTTAATATATGTCCAGAGTGATTATTTTCTAAATCAGAACTGGCACTAATGTGATCATTACCACCAAACCTAACATTTAGTAAATTTTGTTCAGTGATGTATGCTGGACCACTTGAGTTCTCAATTCTACCTGTGTAATTTGAACCGGACACAAAGGATGATGAATTGTCTTCATCAATTACATTTCCATTACTAAAGTCTCCTTCTGTGATGTATCCTCCAGAACTGTAATCTTTACCCATCAACTCATTCAAATTTTCTGCTAATACTCCTGTAGGATCTTGCTTGACTGGTTTCCTGTTCTGATTCCTCATATCTATGTCTCTTAGGTAACTAGCACTGTTTAATTCATCTTGGCTGGGTCCCCTGTTGGAATTTATAGCATCTGATTTCATCATCTCTTCCTCCTTAAGGTAGCCATTACTATTCAACTCTTCTTGACCTGGTTCAAAGTCATGTTTCATAATTCCCTGCGCTCTAAAATCATCTTCCAAATAGGCATCATTGTATTGACTTGCACCATCATATCTCATCAGTGGCTCATCCAGTAGCTTTGGGTTTTCCATGGAATCAAGACGATGGTATTCCCCTTTTGAGCTACCTGAATTATAAGTAGAGGGCTGCTGTCTTCTGGGTAATAACATTCCTTGATTATTCATGGCATCTTCAGAAAGGTAACCATTGCTAATCATACTTATGTTAGAGTCCTCGTCCTTAGCCTCAATCAAGGGTGATAATACATCATTTGCTTTGCCATTCTCTTTAGAATCCATAGGATGATAACTTTCAGTTAAACCACAAAACTCTACTTCAGGGACTCCAATGACGTCAGTTGAAATATATGTCGGATTCATGATTGGTTGTCCATCACTTCCTGACCTTTGAACTTCGTGTTCATCATCATTTGAAAATGGTGTTCTTGAAGATGCAGAATCAAGCATACTATTTTCTGTAACATTGGAATCTATGTCAACATGCTGAGTCCTTAAATAACTGTCTACATTTTCATCTTCTGAAAAAAAAAAAAAAAGCATTTGTAAAAGAAATATTTCAATCTCATACGACTACCACAATTTTTTCGAAAGAATAATTTCAAAGATTTGTTTCTGTAAATAATAATCAGAAGAGTTGTAAATTTTAATTTTAATTTTTTTTCATTAAACAAGTGAGTAAGACTGACATTTATCGCTGCTTTACTGATCATGATTGAATCTATGTTCAACGTCTTAGATAAAATGGTTATACAAAAAAGTATTCCATAAAATTAACATTATCTATGATTCATGTAAATGAGGTAAAGGTCAGATAAATCGTGTCAGACGGACATGTACGCCTTACAATCATTCCATACACTGTTCAAATAAATAGAGAAACTTTTGAAAATAAATACAAAACAAGTGTTAGCAAAAAGGTTAAAATATCATAAAGTATATTTTACATTCTATGCTATGAACAAATTATTCTACTCTCCAGAATACTGTACTTAAGTTTTTAAAGTGTTTTTATTCTGTTTGAATTAAACATTACAATTAAAAGCAAAAACAGTTTACAATTTAATTTCAGATTTACAGCCAAAAACATCCTCCCTGCTTTGATTAAACACTTTAACCAGCAAGTATAAAAAGAATGCATGCGTTGCCACCAAGCATACACCTTATAATTCAGAGTATCAGTTCAATTTTAAGTTCATTCAACATTATGAAAAGTTCCCTTGAAAGAAGAAGTAAGTGTCTGACCAATCCAAAAAGCACCTGCACATTACAACTTATAAGTACATAATTGATGACCAAATATGAAGTCATTCTGTCAAGTAGTACTGGAAAAAAATTTTATGAAAAGTTTTAAATTCTGTTCAAAAGTACTTGAGAAATATACCAATGAAATGACAGACAGACACACAGGACAGAGAATGTGAATACAGAATAACACCCAAGTCATGAGTTTCTTTCAGTACCATGAACTATTTGTCAAATATCAACCAAGCAGAAATCTACAGACCAAGAACAAAGTTCAAATTGGATACAATTTCGCAGATTGAAATAATCTATAAATGACCTGAGAGCTACAACACAATGTTGCAATATGTTGTATTAGTCTACTTTCAGTAACATCTGCAATCATCCTGCGATCTGCTGTTTTAAAAAGCAATCTTGTTTATCCAAACTGTCAGGTGATTATGCATCAGCCACTTTATATCAGATTGATAATATAAAGATACACAAATCATGTTTAGGAGTGAATATAATATGACAATTACCAATCGTTATATCTTTTGGATATACATCTTCAACAGATTTACTTCTCTCATTCACATCCATATATCCATCTTCATCTGTTTTTCCATCGAATAACATCTTCTCATCTGAACTAGATCTGTATGATGAGAGCGTATTATTGGATATCTTCTGTGAAGACTGGGATTGTCTGTCAAAACTGTTAAAATTTTGATTAACATTTGGATAGGACGCACGGATGGCAGGTGCAGCAATGATGTTTTGTTGGAAGGCTTCCTGTCTAAATGCATGATCATGTGGTATATCACTGTCTAACGCCATTTTAGAATAATCTGGGTCTAATGGAATACTTTTCTTATGATTGTCGCTGGATTTGTGCTTCTTGTTTTCTCCTCTACTCTCTTCCGCTACAGGAAATAGATCTGGTTTGCCATCTACTTCAGGAGACTGCAAAGCATCAGATGTTAAACTGAATCTACCACTGTCTTTACTTACTTGTGAAAAATATGGTATAACCTGCAACAAAGCAAAAGTTTCAATTATTTAATTTGGATAAATGTGGTACAAACTTTGATAACTGGAAAAGTGGTGGTCCTGCATCTGTTCTGATTAACTTCAATTTAAGTGACTACACTGTCAACCAAAGTATATATGTCTCACCGGTGTAACATAATCACAAACTTTAACAATTGTTGATATGGCAGATGAGGAGGCCAATGCCAGAAAAATCTTCTTGGTAAGGCAAGGCAAAAATCATCTACAACTGACTTGTATTTATAGTGTAAAACAATTTACCTAAAGGCCACAATTTTACCCATTGCTTGATATTGTTAAATTCAATGAATAGAAAACATAAGGAAAATTCATCAAAATACCCCTGAACAGAAAGTTCCATTAAATTCTATTGCGTTAGCTACAATTTAGACAAAAAAAGAAAGTCTGATTTTTGTTTGTTTCACATATGGGATGTTAAAAAGAGCTGAGTAGGATAATTTAGATGTAGAGTTGACCAACAACATTGACCTATCATATATATAATTTAAGAATCAGACCTCATCCTGATAAACCTAACCAACCACTGGGGCGTGAAAATCTAGTCGAAAGACATTTGAGAAAATTTTCTCCATCAATGCATATACTAATGATTGTTTACAAAATCATGTAGTTATTGAAAAAAAGATTGTATCCTGATATGTTAAATTGACCACTGATGCATAAAAATGTTGTCAAGATTATTTGGTAATGAATCAGCACTATGGCTTCAACAAAGACAACCTCAGGGCAATTTTCTGTGGATAAAGATATTAAGGTCTTTACACCAAGGATCCAGAATTTTTTCACACAATTTCCGTCATTTTGAGATGACTGAAAAGTTGGTGCCCTTTTTCAAATATTGTCGATATCACACAAGATTCATTATAGCATCAAGGAACTTGTATTACTGTTTCATCGCATTTACTTCATGAATTTTCTTACCATTTTTCTAAATAAAACGTTCAAGAACAGTTTAGGGAAGGCAACAGTTTGGAATTGAAATGATTTTAATGACTCCAAATGGTTAATTTCTCAGACATCGCTAATGTTTCTTTCGATTTTGAAGACGTAATTAAAACCGTAAGTTTTGAGATAATACTAACTTACAAGTAATTCCGGATTCATTTCCGGGATTCTTTATGTTTATCAAATTGACAGGAAATCACAGGCTTTTTAATTTTATTACCTTTTAATGTGTTTGGATATAACAGATAATAGTTGCACTCGTTTAATTTAGCATGAAATCATTTTGCATTTACTGATTAAATTTCTAATCTGCTGAAGACAATTTCACGCATGCGTATTAGATAGTAAATAAAGCACATGTGTTAAAAAATACTTTAATTTACGTAAATTAAATTAAGTTTTAATTTTCAAATCAGAATTGATGATTGTCTTTGCTGAAAAGTAATTAAATAATGAATACAGTTGTCATGGAATTTTAATTTCTTTATGATATTAGTTCTGGCTTGTGATCAATGTCAGGTGTGAATTAAAAACACAGGTAAAAAGTGATTAGCGATCATTGGCCAATATTTCCCGGAGGCATTAATATAATTATTAGGAGGGCCCTCAGGATTATCAAACTATACTGGAGTTGCAGTTTTATGACAGGAAAGGGATTATAAAACAAAAACAAGTGATCACAAGTGCAAAATGGCGATTAAGAAACCCGATCTCAATGAAATTATTTCTGTAAAAAAATATGATTTGTCCTAAATCCCAATTTTTGTTTAGGACAAATAGCTTTCAGTTTAGGTCATGACTGGCAAATATGACCGTTTCCGGACCCTTGCTTTACACGCTGTTAACGCATCCACCAGCAATGTCCTCTTTTTGCCTTTTAGACAAAAACAAATCAAAATACTAAAATTTCAATACTTGGTACTTGACCCCCTCATTTCAGAAAGAAATTAAATAAAGTACAGAAAGAATCAAAGTGATGGAAATCACTCATGGAAATATTGGAAGAGTAGCTGGATAATATCAAATCATATTTAGGTACGGTATGGACAAAAGAGAACATTAATAAAGCACTATTGCTTACATTTGCAGATCTTTAAAAGCACTTTTCCAGTAGATAAAATAAGCTAAATGAGAATCAAATTGAATGATAGGGGGTCCCTTAATTTGCACAACAATTTCATTTAAATTGCAGTTTATATCTTAACCAAATAACGTTCCCTGTTACATGTTTCACCTTTTACATTTATCTTTTGAAATAAAACAAAAATTGCAAATCAAAGATTCTTCTAGTAAAGCTTGTAAAACATAGGACCAACAGATAGACTTGAAACTGAGAACTTTAATGTGTCAAAAAAATAATCTGAAAAGGTTGTTTTGGGGCATTTTGTAAGTTGAAACATAGGTATACTATTTTTCTCCTCTGAGAATTGATTATTGATTATGAAAACAATTATCATGATATATGACATTGAAGATTAAAACAAAACTTTACGACAAAAGAGATGATTTCAGCTTCCCAATTGTGAACTTTCCATTTCTATGTAGCAACATTCCAGCAGCGCCTGCATACAGAGTATATATCTCCCAATTGATATGATATTCCCAGGCTTGTATTTCCTATCATGATTTCCTTGATAGAGGATTGCTGCTCAAATGGTGAAGTTGAAATCATCCCTTCGTGAATTTTACGGTGCCATCACGAGTTGGTTGACCGTTATGGAATAACCGTTTCACAGATGATATCGGATATGTTCCTTATGTCGTAACTACAATACCCTTCCCTTTTCACGAATGTGACCTACCGAATTAGACTATTTACCAGATTTGTAATAACATAAGCAACACGACGGGTGCCACATGTGGAGCAGGATCTGCTTACCCTTCCGGATTACCTGAGATCACCCCCAAATTTTGGTGGAGTTGTGCTGCTTATTCTTTAGTTTTCTATGTTGTGTCATCTGTACTATTATTTGTCTGTTTGTGTTTTTATTTTTGGCCATGGCGTTGTCAGTTTGTTTTCGATGTGTGAGTTTAACTGTCCCTCTGGTATCTTTCGTCCCTCTTTTAAAAGTTGTAGAGTGTATTTCAATCAATTTATAATTTAAATATTTTTCAGCAAAGGGCATTGAAAATGTACTTTTACAACATAAACAAATTAAAAAACTTATTTTATTGAAATGTGGATTCTATCTTGATTGCATAAATATATATACACTTCTTATATTCAAATGACTAAAATTGTTAACAGACATTTGATGGGGAATAAACTAAAAAAAAATGGTTTGTTCTAATTTAGAGTTTTAAAATTTTTCGAACTGTTTCAAGCCAATCACTGATAAAAAAATAAATGACTAACCTAGATTGTTGATTAATTACAGATGATTATTGCAGATTTATAATAGTAAATTATAGGCCTTACTTATATACCTTTTATAAATTTATATTCAGATTTCATTTTTTTTTTTTTTTTAAAGATCTTGTTCAGTCCTTAATCATTTATCTTAAAGCTTTCAGACATAATTTACAGCATCAATTTATGTAGTGTAGATCAAAAGTAAAAGGCAATGAATAAATCTATCATCTCTATATATCAAACATCTAATATATAAATTTGTGTATTCAAATCTGAGGTCAAATATTTGTATATTTAGCATGTATTGAGATGTATATTGAAGGGTCTCTATAATTATGTAAGACTGAGGTTGATTAGTAATGTGGTCAATATGATTGGCATTTAAGAAGGTGTGGCATTGTTATTAAGGCCCCACCTTGTCTGTGATTGTTTGGTGATCATGACAGTTGTCAATCATACTGTATGTATTTTTACTCAATCACCTAAACAAAATGATAAAAAAAAGTCTGCACATCAACAAACCTTAAAGACATACATACTTGAATGAACTGCTCCAAAAATATACCCAAATTTTTCACAGTTTATATGTGCAAAGACATGAGAATTATAAGGAACTATATTTCAGTGTGTATACATTTTGTAGATTTAGTAGCTAACCTGTGCTTAGTTACTTGTTGTTAGGGAGGCCAGTGCCTTAGGAAAGATTTAGAACAAGTTCCAATCTTTCCAAAAAAGCATCTTTGTAACCAATAATCTTAGTCATAACTGAAAATATTTAGGAATCTTGCCTTCGCTTAAGCAAACGAGTTGTCCAAAGGTGCAAAATTTACAATTTCACTTTTGAATCATGAAAGTTAAAAATTCGTAAGGGTTCCGTGGAACCCAGTGTCTCGCCTACTTTTGCTGTTAGTCGCAGGCTCAACAAAAATGGGGAAATAATGATCAAAAATTTTCCTCTAGATACTATCTTTTGAATGTAAGAAGCTTCTGTTCAAGTTTGGTAAGAATCCAGGATGGTTTATGAATCTAAATGTTTTAAAAACTTTAACTGCAGACTGTATGTAATGTTAACTGGAAGAAAAACTAAGTCCATTTATAAGTAATATACGGAAAAACAGGACATTTTTTTTCACAAAATTTCCTTCTAGATACTATCTTATGATCATAAACAAGCTTCTGTCCAAGTATGGTACAAATCCAGGATAGTTTAAGAAAGTTTTTAAAATTTGAAAAACTTTAACCACAGAGTGAATGTAATGTTAACTGGCAGAAAAACTAAGTCCATTTATAAGTAAAATACAGATAAACAGGATTTTTTTTTTAACAAAATTTACTTTTGAATACTATCTTATGATCATAAACAAGCTTCTGTCCAAGTATGGTACAAATCCAGCATAGTTTAAGAAAGTTTTTAAAATTTGAAAAACTTTAACCACAGAGTGAATGTAATGTTAACTGGCAGAAAAACTAAGTCCATTTATGAGTAAAATACGGATATAAAGGATTTTTTTTTTACAAAATTTACTTCTGGATACTATCTTATGATCATAAACAAGCTTCTGTCCAAGTATGGTACAAATCCAGGATAGTTTAAGAAAGTTTTTAAAATTTGAAAAACTTTAACCACAGAGTGAATGTAATGTTAACTGGCAGAAAAACTAAGTCCATTTATAAGTAAAATACAGATAAACAGGATTTTTTTTTTAACAAAATTTACTTTTGAATACTATCTTATGATCATAAACAAGCTTCTGTCCAAGTATGGTACAAATCCAGCATAGTTTAAGAAAGTTTTTAAAATTTGAAAAACTTTAACCACAGAGTGAATGTAATGTTAACTGGCAGAAAAACTAAGTCCATTTATGAGTAAAATACGGATATAAAGGATTTTTTTTTTACAAAATTTACTTCTGGATACTATCTTTTGATCATAAACAAGCTTCTGTCCAAAAAATGCTTCTGGTATAAATGCAGGATAGTTTAAAAAAGTTATTAAAATTTGAAAAACTTTAACCACCCACAGAGTGAATATTTGTGGACACCACGGACAATGACGGAATGTAGGATCGTTATGTCTTGCTTTTGCAACAAAAGTCACAGGCTCGACAATAAATGAATTTTTTAATAGTGAAAACATTATTTTTACGCCTTTGGACATCTTGTTTGCTAAAGCCAGGGCCAGATTCCTAAATATTTGTCTATAAGGGCTAATATTAATGTGTTTAAACTTCGTAAAAAAATTGAAAACAACACGTTTTAATAATTTCATGCGTCCGAAGTGCTTTTCTGGACTTACCTTCATCAGGAACGCTCAAAGCCAAACATTTAAAATCCGAGGGATGTATAAGTACCGAAACAGTTGAAGAGCTACATGACAAAAAAAAATAAAACAAAGAGCCAAATTCATCTGAGGTCAACTTTGCCTGAGGGAGTTGAAACCTTAGTTTCTGTATAATTTCAAAATTTATAAACGGACAATTTTAGAAAGGTTTGTTATAAGGATTGGGTTACTATATTTAAAGTAACCATAAAACAAAATTTCTATAAGAGGGCAGACAATGAAGAAACAACTGTACCATTACATGAAACATCTCTACATGTTTGTCATGAAACAATGATGCATTTACTATCAGAAAAATGCACAAGCATATAACTATACAACTTTCAAATATACTGAAATAAAAGCATTTATGCTTATGAAATAGATTATGCTTATGAAATAAACTTAGTGTATACCTTGTTATCTTTCAACAATCTAGAGATTGAGCTCTGGTCCCCTGATGAGCTTGATGATGAAGTATTCAATGCTGGGTCAGTCTATAAGAAAACATAGTTATCAATGATTACAAAGTTCACACCAATTCCTCATGTCTTAAACCAAAGATAATAATTTAAGTTAGTATAAGTCTTCAAATTGTCCAGATCTATACATAAATTAGCAAATTTTAATGCAGATATGAAGAAATTTGTATAATTTCATCTTATGAGAATATTTTGTTTACAAGTAGGGATTTTTGGAATGTAAAAAATATAAAAATTCAACTTTATAACAGCGGAGATCACTCAATTATTATGTTTTATAAAAGAATGGACAATTAATTTATCTATTTGTTATATAACAAAGAAAACAAGTTCTGTGAACCAATATTTTTTTTTTATCTTGTGACAGTTTTTATCTTCTCACATTCTACACAATATATTTCAAAATTCCTTCATTTAAATTTTCTTCTACTCGCATAACAGTGATGTTTATGTATACAATCCTTACAAAATATGAGAATTGTGCACAACCTGTAGCTTGAAAACAAGCTGAGTGACCAATGTTTTTTTACATAATTTTGGAATGACAGGAACTGGTGAATACCTACCGTATTTCCTCCTTGTAGTTTTATCTTTGGAGTGATAATCTCTAATGGCCGTTTCATTTCCCTGATACCATAAGCTGTTCGCCTTTACAAAAGAAATTTAAAATCATTTAATGTCAAATAAACTTACCCTGTATGTCAAAATCTCTGCAGACTGAATTAATTCTCTATTTTAAGGTAAATCTTTTAATTACAAAAATGTGATATGTCTTGCACTATAGAAGCTGTATTCTTTTTCAATCTAAAAAATTCTGCTTCCCATATTTTCCTACCCTAGAATATGCTATTGATTTTCTCCAAAAATATTACTTATACTTTAATAGTTTGACTCAACCATCAACTAGGTACTGAATTATCTGTGATATATTAATTTTATAATTTTTTTTAAATTTTATAAATACTGGGCCTACGGTAGGCAATGCCTTGAAGCATTGTTCAGCACGCGCCAGGCGATGCCTTAAGGCATCATTTGGGATGATAGAGTTCAAAATGGATTAGGGTAGGAAATAAATATGTAGCACCATTGATAAGAAAATAATAAAATATATACCTATAAATGAAAACTGCTCCGGCAATTGCAAACATAAATAAAAAGGTTCCTCCAACTGCTATCGCTGTAATTTCTGAAGGTGCTAAATCTAAAAAAAAAAAGATTACAGTGATTAGGAATCATGAATAAATACAAATATATCTATACACCATAAGGTATATTATGTTAAGTTTCAGAGAAGGAAATTTTTTAAGAAAGAAATTCACAGACAAACAAAGACGGACACCAAGTAATAGCAAAAGCTAGTCATGGCCTTTGGAAAGATAGACTTAAAATGAGACTAATAAATGCAATTTCTGAAAATGCTGCATTTAAATAGTGCAACCAAAAAATGCAATATACAACCAATGTGAGCTTCAGATATTTTCTCTTGTGACTTTAAACTCTGTGATATGCAGCACTGTACAGAAAAGGTGACTCATATTCTCCCCAGGGCCTTTTAGCATCATGGTAATGTGCATGATGCTATATTGCTTGAATGTGATCCTATCTAAAATAATTTTCTGGTCATAGTTAGAAATTAATTATTGGAATGGCTTTATAACTGCTAATACTATGATAGGAGTACAGAATTTCATTTCTGAAAATATAACATTTAAGACTCATAAACAACAGGTCGTTTAATTTAAACACCTGCAAATACAATTTTCCATGACGAAAATATATATATATATATATATATATATATATATACACGTCTAAACATGTGACAACTTTATGACAGATATTCTCCATCGGAAAACACATGCATGGTTATGCAGGGCTGACCCATAAAATATATATAATTCATCTCAAATTTTGCCCAACAATTTTAGATCTTCAAATTTGAATGCAAATTTTTGTTCTTCTTCAGCGGGATTCAAACCCTTGTGTCTGTGACATCATGGCAACACGGCCTGCACCGTGTCCAGCGCCCTAGACCACTCGACCACCTAGGCTATATATAAATATAGCTTTCGCTGGTCAAGTAATGCCTTTTCTCGTAGGCTTTATCTAGGATTTTAACACATTACATGATGTATAGTGGAAAGTAGATGCTGTACCTTTCAGATAAGCTATATATATATAACAATATGAATAACATGACCAGACCACAAATATAAATGTCATCTTAATACTATATCCAAATTGAAACCAAAAACCTCTGAAAGCCAAATATAAAATTAAATCATAAATACCTGAAGATATAACAGCCATGGTTTTATACATCTGTTAATGATCCAAGAGTAATAGTGAAAAGTTAGAAGCCTTAAAATTCCAACTTTTTGCAGTTGAAAGCATGCAAACTTACTCCTGCATCTAAATGTCAGGTCAAATGAAATATGAAATGGTATGAACTAATAAATATGAATATATATGAATAAATATGAATATATATGAATAAATGAAATAATAATAGTATATGAAATAAACATGCTTATGATTGTGAAATACAAAAGAGATATGAATAAATAATCTGTGATACTCTTATATATTTTGTTATAGATGTGACGTCATAATTTCTAGAAACAAGATGGTATTTAAAATACCCTGTTTTCCAGGATGCCAACAAAAAGTGCTGGGAGAAAGCTTGGTGTATTGTGCAGACAAAATTTGACGAAAAATTCATCTTTATCTGTTTGACAAGTTTTTGAATGAAACTTTCCCAAAAAATAAGAGAGATAATTAGCTACTTCTGGATTACAGATAAGTCACTTCAGTATCATATGACAGCTTACTTTGCACTGATTCAGAAAATATATGGTTGTGTGACATGATTGCTTCTCCTCAGTAAAAGATACTTAGCCAGCTGTAAGCAGTTGAGCTATGGAAGTACTTCTTTAGCTCAGTCGGTAAGGGGGCAGACTTGTTGGACACAGAGGTCCTGATTCAAGTCCTGATTGAAGGAGACAATAATGAAAATCATACTCCCTGGTTACAGTTGTTTTTAATCAATCCTCAATCTCAGTTTATTACCTTTAACATCTTATCCTAATATATTAAACTAAGTATCATTAGAATCTCAGAATCAATTGTCAAACACATTTAGAGCTATTTTCCTAATTCTAGTTCTTTATATTATATTAAATGTTATTAGATGTTATGTATAATGCAGAGTATAATGTATACAAGCTAAAGCCCCGCCTATTTATTAATGGCAGATGTCAATCTTAATTACAATGCTCGAGCAAACATTTATACACTCAAAGCAAGCAAGCCAACCAAACCTTTAAACTACAAGCATTAGGAAATTAGCTCTAAATGAAGACTAACTAAGATGTTTAACCTGTATTGTATTGGCAAGAAACTATAACCCATGGACACACCGACAGAGAATACCTCTGCAATTTGTCAACTAGAATATTTACTATTATTTGTAGGCTGTATATACACCATATCACTGTAATCACTAATTCTTCCATCGCCTGTAATATGCTGAATTCTGACACCATAAGAAGTTCCAGCCTTTAGATTTGGTAAAACCAACTTAGATGGTTCAGTTGTTGAAATATCCCTTTCTTTATTAAAATCTATAACATATTAAAATATGTAAAACTAAGTAAATGGAGCTTTATTTTTCTATGTACCAGTAACAATATTTTATCTGTGTTGTATGTTGCTGTTGGATTTTATTTACCAAATTATTAATGCAATAAATTATGTAGTAAAACATCAACATAACGGTAAACAACTACTGTCTATAAACCCTAACCAATGTTATGGCTTTTTACTGCCTAAACGTTGGAATATTCATATCATTTTTTGTCAATAAGCAAATCTCTATAGGTTGTCTAAAAGCTGACAAATTTTGCAATTTCTTCAGCATGATTTATCTCAAGACTCTAAATATCACTTTGAATGGGCATTTCTCGATCATAAAATGAAAACCTATCAAAAACCAGAAAAATTAAAATGCAAAATAAATATCATTCATCACTTCTTAATCTTCAAAAAAAAATATTGGAAAGATTTTGCATCAGAGTTTTGCATGGCTCTTGCAACACAGGGTTGTAATACCTAATTTAACAAAACTCTGCTAACAAAGATATCTTTCTTTAGAATAAAAACATTCCTTTCAATGAGTATTTTGATTTCCCTGTGAGGCAGGAATCAACTAACTAGAGTAATTTAAACTTTTTAGAATTAGGTAGTCAAATTGATATAATGACCATATGCTTTTTTAAAAACAAATTGAAAACGTGTAAATATTGTAAAAAGTCATGTTATGAAATAAGATTTAAAGACAATGAATCTTTAATACAACCCAATAATAGCACAAAAACCTGAAAACTGACCATTTTCTAATCATTTAACATGACCTTCATCAAGGTCATTAACATGCCATTTGAAAAAAAATCAAATATAAGCAAATCATATTTGGATTAGACAAACTTCTTTAAAATATCACTATGTATAAGAATCTTTTGAGAAGCTGTTGCTATCTTTAAATATTGATAAGATGTTAAATTAATCCAGTTTGAATTTTTTTTTTAATTTATAATTAAATGTGTTAAGTTTAAAGCCTAAATGAACCAGAACTGTGAGTGGACTAACACATATTAGTATGCATTGAAGTAAGTAATTTTGATTATCTCCCCTTTAACATATTAAACTGGGAATATATTAAAGTCATATGAAATGAGTTTCTAGTAATTTTAATGTAATCAAAATTATAGAAACAATACATGCATATATACTAAAGTAAGTCCTGTATGCATGTTTTTTTATATTTATTACGAATCTATAATGTATTATCGACAAATAATATTTCATTCAGTGATTGTTGATTGCAAGCTTATTGACTTTCGAGTTTGTTGCCAAAGTTTATCAAATTGTGACATTGATAAACACTCAACACAGAGCATGTGAAGCACATGACAAATAATTGAATTGATAGAGCCATGAAATTATTTTTCATATATTTTCCATGCCTTCCCATTTGTTAATTAAACTTTTCCTTTACAGTTGTTAAATGATTTGTTGTACCAAACTTGTTCTTTAAGGATCTGTTATTACTTTTTACCTTCCAGTGCACGTTTGTTTACACTCTATCATCACGGTTTTCCCCTTGCACTTGTACTTGTAAATAAATATGTAAGGTCTGAAGTCTAAAGAATAATTTTGTGAACATCTAAAGAATAAAGAATAATGAACTTATGATATTCTAAATTATCTTTTTGTGATTTCAATACTATCAATGAATAAATAAGATGACATATCTTTTTAGAAAAGTTTTCAAGCAGTTGGTCCATCATAAAATTCGTTCACAAAATGAGGCCATCACAGTATGGAAAACCTACCTGAACAATCCTTGGTATCGCTTGCAGTACACCAAGTGACTCTGTAAAACTCAATGTATGGGGAATCCCCACACTTTGGATCTGACCAATCAACTGTTATTGCGTTTTCAGGATATGCAAGAACATCAACTTGAGTTGGGGGAGATGGAGCTGAAATGACAATCCAATTAGCTATTAATATTACATAAAGAGTTGGTTCACTAATTCATAAATTTGGACCTAAAAATCTGAATCTTTTTTATGGCAATAATGTTGTAAAAATTTGATGAAAACATATGTTAAATTATCCTAGTGTTTCAGTTAAAAAAGATTTTCACCATTGCGTCATTAGTGATATATTTGTGACGTCATAAATGTAGGTGAATTTCGTAACACATTTTTTTTTGCATAATTCTGCTAATGTTACGACAGTTTTCTGACAAATTAGGTGTGGCACCACCCTTTGCCCACAAATATTTTTGCTGAAATATTATTAATATACCATATTCTTTACTTTTCAACCACAATTTCGATAGGCAAGGGTTGGCGCCACATGTGTAATTATGAAAAAAAGGTCAAAAAGGTTGACAAATTTCAAGAAAATGAAGGAAAATGAAATTTATTCCTGTTTCAGGCTAATATATTTATTAATATGAAGCAGACATGTAAATCAAAACCATACTAAATATTATTGTTATACACATATGCACATTCAAGGTACTACAATCTGTCGATACCTATATTTTGGCATTGCACAAGGTCATGTTTTTCTCTAACTGTTAATGACATGTTTACACTAAATCCATTGTATGTTGGATGTGTACTGATTGATATTTTAGTCATACATGATTTTTTAATTAATTGTTATTGGCTTTGAACTAGCTGTCAGTAACTGAGAGTACTCTCAAATCTTTACTTAGTGTCTTTTTTGTTGTGGGATGTATAGATAGGCTGCCATGTCCAGTCTGAGTTTTCGTTAAATGTTTTCTGCTTTGTATCAATCTGATGAGTTAAGCCTGTTTTAACTGATTTCTATAGTTTGTTTTTATGTTGTACTGTTACACCACTTCCCAAGGTTAGGGGGAGGGTTTGGTGTCAGGAAACTAGTTTAATCTCCCTCATGCAAAGCTCTGATTCCCTGCCTGGCTTTGGCTATACTTTTTTGTCTTTTTTGGCTTATAGCTCTTCATCTTTTTAATAAGCTTTGGATTTTCAAATATTTTTGACCTCGAGCATCACTGAAGAGACATTGATTGTTGAAATGCGCATCTGGTGCAGAAAAATCGGTACCGTTTATGTTATTAACCCCACCATACTCTATATGTGCCTGTCCCAAGTCAGGAGTCTGTAGTTCAGTGGTTGTCGTTGGTTCGTCTGTCATATTCGTTTTTTATAAATTGATTTGTTATAAATTAGGCTTTGTTTTTCTCTTATTTTTCATGTTGGGGCCTTTTATAGCTGACTATACATTCTGGGTATTTCTCATTGTTGAAGGCTGTACAGTTGCCTATAATTGCTTATATCCACTTCATTTGAACTTTGGTTGATAGATGTCTCATTGACAATCATACCACATCTCCTTATTTTTTATAATTTTAGTATTATACTTACAAATATATCACATTTAGCAATAAATAGACATAATTTTTACTTATACAATTGAAATTTAAAATAACACCTTAACAGGGCTGTTTATTGTAGTTTCTGGTTCTACTTCTTTAAGGTTAATTTGATATTAAACATTTTGCCCATGTATCATATCAGATATCAATAACATACAGGTAATCAGATATCAATTAAATACAGGTAATCAGATATCAACTAAATACAGGTAATCAGATATCAATATCATACAGGTAATCAGATATCAATTAGATACAGGTAATTACAGGAAATCAGATATCAATTAATAACAGGTAATCAGATATCAATTAGATATCAATTAGATACAGGTAATCAGATATCAATTAAATACAGGTAATATATCAATTAAATACAGGTAATCAGATATCAATTAAATACAGGTAATCAGTTATTTCTTGTAACATGTCAATTCTATTTTAATTTTAAAAAGAACAATCTAAAATAAAATATCTAACAAATTTTAAAATACTCATAGGTAACATTCATTCACTGTAAATTCAGAAATTATTGTGAGATTTTTGTTATTGCGAATATTGCGACTGGGTGAGAATCGCAATAATAAGAACTTGCTTTATGACATTTGATGCATATATCTGTATGCAGAATTTCCTGAAATTGCAATAATAAATCTCACATTTTTGTACTTTCTTCAAAAATAGCAAAAATAAAAGCAGGCTATAACATCTGAATTTACAGTAATTGTTTTGGTGTCCCCTTTGTGGACCATTGTAAGATACCTGTTTCTTTTTTTTTAAAAAAGCAAACTAATTCCGGATGTTAAAACATTTTGTAACTGCTACATTAATTGGAAGTTACAAAAATACTTCCTGAAAAAAGAAAAAAAGAAAAAAAGAAAAAAATTCAGTTAGTTGCTGTCCTTTGTAACTACATCAGTGAGAAATGGAAGAGGCAATTCTGTGTCAATAACACCTTTAAATTTTCAAATGTCCTAAACATAACAACATGTATGATGTAGGGGAATACGATGAGGTCTACATTAATTTCATAGCTTGACATACCTATACTTTTTAAGTAATAACAATCTTCCCAGTTAAATCCTGAACTTCCTACATCCATGTCAGATGATACACCAAATCTGTATTTCTTATCAAACTGTATGTGTTCAATTGTGAGTGAGGTAGAATTACCTGGTACCCTTATCCATTCAATATCAGTCTGAAATATATGACAGAAGTAAATTAACATTTAATGTAGAATTTTTTGTTTGTTTCAAACATGGTTAAGAAAAAAAAAAAACAGTGTAAAAAAATATATCCTTATTGAAGTTTATAAAGTGTAATCAGGAGAAAATTGTTTTTCAGAATCATCAAGTTCAAAGCAGAGCTTACAAAAATTCTTTTTTTTTTTAAATTTTTGCACCCTTCAAGTTAAAAAGGTGAATGCAATAAAAAAGGTAAATATACTGTGGATTCTTTTTTTTTTTTTGGTTCCAATTTTTGTGGATTAAAGAAAACTTGCATTTTTGTGGATATCTAATTTTGTAGTTATGCTAAAGTCTGCATACATTTATAAAGAAAATTTATAATTCTTTGAACACCCTATATTGACCTAAAAAGTTTAGTTACAGCATTACACTTAATCTGTCTATTTAAATCATGCTATCCACATGGACATCTGTATAAAAGAATCTGCCAATGCTGTAAGGTTCAATTACATACAATAAACCATGTAATAGAATTTTCAATAACAAAAATGCAAATATAAAATAGACATCATGTCTGGATTTTTTTGACAGTCAAAATAAAACTGTTTCGCAGGTCAGACAATAAAAGAAATCTTGCATGAAAATTTGTTAATGCAGGTATGGTGTATAGTGTTATTAAATGGGCGTTTCCATATCAATCCTGTATTATGTTCAAGTACAGTTGTATTGGGTCGAAGATAGTTGTATTAGCTTGAGGCAGGTCAGAGGGCCAATACAGCTGTACAAAACCCAACATGCCCAATATGACTGTACCAAGACATAATACAAGATTAATATGAAAACACCCATTTTATGACCTTTATTAACCAATGACTTAAAATAACCACCAAAAGCTGACTGAGGGTAAACACAACTGTAGGATGACTCGTACAGGATCAATATGAACTATTTGGGTTAATTAACATTTTAATGCAAGGAATGTCGAATAACCCTAAAAAATAAATTACCCTTTTGTTCACCTGTAAAAACCCTTTGAGCCTCCCCATTTTTACATGAGTTATCTCCCATCAAAATAATGTCACTGATGTATGTAAACAAAATTTTAAGTCACAAAAAATAATCCTCTGAAGTAAGTGTTTTGACAGATTATTTGTTTATACTACAGTGAGACATGTACAGGAGCTTCTTTAACATGTATTTTCAATGGTTCGAAGGGCCCTTTGGTATAATTAACATATGTGGCCCATTTGAAGCAGTGCATATCCAACCCTACAAATTTCTCTCACTTCGGACTGCACCCTCAGAGAAATAATCTTTTATGGTTGACAATTCTGGGTATTACAAGCTCTCAGACACATGGAATCGTATTAAATGGACAATTTAAAATGTATTTTAAGTCATTGGTTAATAAATTGTAGTAAAAACTTCACAAGCAAAGCAATAAATGTAAAAACTTACTGTACATTCTGTATCAAACTGACAGTAGTATACAGTGTGGAATTTAATTCTCTCATCCTCTGTTGGAGTCCAACTTACGCTTACAGTTGTATCCGTAGAAGTATTCTGGGCCTCCACTATAGTCCTACTTGGAGGTAAAAGGCCTGAAATAAAAAAAAAATTATTCAAAATAACAAATATCTATGTACACTAGTAACTACTATTATCTTTTTTTTTTACTAATCCATTTCATCAATGTGAAGACAACTCATTGGTCTGTCATGACCAAGATATACCTGTATATTGCAGTGCCATTCTATTGAATTTTATGACCTTCTTTATCTAATGAACTTGTGTGAATCTTAAAAAGGATTTTAGTACCCCTATAATGATACAAGAGGGGCATTATGTTTTCCATGTGTCTGTCAGTCCGTCAGTATGTCCAGTATCAGGTTAAAGTTTGGGTGGAAGGTAGGTTAAACAGGTTAGTTTATGGTAGGTTTTATACAAGAGGGGCATTATGTTTTCCATGTGTCTGTCAGTCCGTCAGTATGTCCAGTATCAGTTTAAAGTTTGGGTGGAAGGTAGGTTAAACAGGTTAGTTTATGGTAGGTTTTATACAAGAGGGGCATTATGTTTTCCATGTGTCTGTCAGTCCGTCAGTATGTCCAGTATCAGGTTAAAGTTTGGGTGGAAGGTAGGTTAAACAGGTTAGTTTATGGTAGGTTTTATACAAGAGGGGCATTATGTTTTCCATGTGTCTGTCAGTCCGTCAGTATGTCCAGTATCAGTTTAAAGTTTGGGTGGAAGGTAGGTTAAACAGGTTAGTTTATGGTAGGTTTTATACAAGAGGGGCATTATGTTTTCCATGTGTCTGTCAGTCCGTCAGTATGTCCAGTATCAGTTTAAAGTTTGGGTGGAAGGTAGGTTAAACAGGTTAGTTTATGGTAGGTTTTATACAAGAGGGGCATTATGTTTTCCATGTGTCTGTCAGTCCGTCAGTATGTCCAGTATCAGGTTAAAGTTTGGGTGGAAGGTAGGTTAAACAGGTTAGTTTATGGTAAGTTTTATACAAGAGGGGCATTATGTTTTCCATGTGTCTGTCAGTCCGTCAGTATGTCCAGTATCAGTTTAAAGTTTGGGTGGAAGGTAGGTTAAACAGGTTAGTTTATGGTAGGTTTTATACAAGAGGGGCATTATGTTTTCCATGTGTCTGTCAGTCCGTCAGTATGTCCAGTATCAGGTTAAAGTTTGGGTGGAAGGTAGGTTAAACAGGTTAGTTTATGGTAGGTTTTATACAAGAGGGGCATTATGTTTTCCATGTGTCTGTCAGTCCGTCAGTATGTCCAGTATCAGTTTAAAGCTTGGGTGGAAGGTAGGTTAAACAGGTTAGTTTATGGTAGGTTTTATACAAGAGGGGCATTATGTTTTCCATGTGTCTGTCAGTCCGTCAGTATGTCCAGTATCAGTTTAAAGTTTGGGTGGAAGGTAGGTTAAACAGGTTAGTTTATGGTAGGTTTTATACAAGAGGGGCATTATGTTTTCCATGTGTCTGTCAGTCCGTCAGTATGTCCAGTATCAGTTTAAAGTTTGGGTGGAAGGTAGGTTAAACAGGTTAGTTTATGGTAGGTTTTATACAAGAGGGGCATTATGTTTTCCATGTGTCTGTCAGTCCGTCAGTATGTCCAGTATCAGTTTAAAGTTTGGGTGGAAGGTAGGTTAAACAGGTTAGTTTATGGTAGGTTTTATACAAGAGGGGCATTATGTTTTCCATGTGTCTGTCAGTCCGTCAGTATGTCCAGTATCAGTTTAAAGTTTGGGTGGAAGGTAGGTTAAACAGGTTAGTTTATGGTAGGTTTTATACAAGAGGGGCATTATGTTTTCCATGTGTCTGTCAGTCCGTCAGTATGTCCAGTATCAGGTTAAAGTTTGGGTGGAAGGTAGGTTAAACAGGTTAGTTTATGGTAGGTTTTATACAAGAGGGGCATTATGTTTTCCATGTGTCTGTCAGTCCGTCAGTATGTCCAGTATCAGTTTAAAGTTTGGGTGGAAGGTAGGTTAAACAGGTTAGTTTATGGTAGGTTTTATACAAGAGGGGCATTATGTTTTCCATGTGTCTGTCAGTCCGTCAGTATGTCCAGTATCAGTTTAAAGTTTGGGTGGAAGGTAGGTTAAACAGGTTAGTTTATGGTAGGTTTTATACAAGAGGGGCATTATGTTTTCCATGTGTCTGTCAGTCCGTCAGTATGTCCAGTATCAGGTTAAAGTTTGGGTGGAAGGTAGGTTAAACAGGTTAGTTTATGGTAAGTTTTATACAAGAGGGGCATTATGTTTTCCATGTGTCTGTCAGTCCGTCAGTATGTCCAGTATCAGTTTAAAGTTTGGGTGGAAGGTAGGTTAAACAGGTTAGTTTATGGTAGGTTTTATACAAGAGGGGCATTATGTTTTCCATGTGTCTGTCAGTCCGTCAGTATGTCCAGTATCAGGTTAAAGTTTGGGTGGAAGGTAGGTTAAACAGGTTAGTTTATGGTAGGTTTTATACAAGAGGGGCATTATGTTTTCCATGTGTCTGTTAGTCCGTCAGTATGTCCAGTATCAGTTTAAAGTTTGGGTGGAAGGTAGGTTAAACAGGTTAGTTTATGGTAGGTTTTATACAAGAGGGGCATTATGTTTTCCATGTGTCTGTCAGTCCGTCAGTATGTCCAGTATCAGTTTAAAGTTTGGGTGGAAGGTAGGTTAAACAGGTTAGTTTATGGTAGGTTTTATACAAGAGGGGCATTATGTTTTCCATGTGTCTGTCAGTCCGTCAGTATGTCCAGTATCAGTTTAAAGTTTGGGTGGAAGGTAGGTTAAACAGGTTAGTTTATGGTAGGTTTTATACAAGAGGGGCATTATGTTTTCCATGTGTCTGTCAGTCCGTCAGTATGTCCAGTATCAGTTTAAAGTTTGGGTGGAAGGTAGGTTAAACAGGTTAGTTTATGGTAGGTTTTATACAAGAGGGGCATTATGTTTTCCATGTGTCTGTCAGTCCGTCAGTATGTCCAGTATCAGTTTAAAGTTTGGGTGGAAGGTAGGTTAAACAGGTTAGTTTATGGTAGGTTTTATACAAGAGGGGCATTATGTTTTCCATGTGTCTGTCAGTCCATCAGTATGTCCAGTATCAGGTTAAAGTTTGGGTGGAAGGTAGGTTAAACAGGTTAGTTTATGGTAGGTTTTGGTCACATCTGAAACTTAGTACACCTGTACATTATAAAAATGAACTGTTTATTATATATGTCAAGTTCAGGTTTTTACCCAGATTTTACCGTTCACTGAAAATGGAAATGTGATAGTGTGAGAATGGCAGGTTGTTCCTATAGACACACTATGTAATAATCTGGTTTATTGAGTTTTTACCCTTTTTACTTGATTTACATAACTGAATTCAGTCAGAAACAGTGTGAAAATGAATTCTTCCATGAGCAGAAAGCTATTAAACAAAAGGAGCTAAAACTTAAAATGGAAATAATTTCTGAATATCACCAGATAATATTTTTATATACTAGGGATGGATTATTTCCCCTGTCTGACCAGGATCAGGAAGGCTGAAATTTGGAGACTACACAACAGTCACTGATGAATGATATAATTTAAAATCTATATAAAAATTTAAAAAAAAACAGTGTTCAAAAGTCCCCACTGATGCACACATTTTGTCTGTCCATAGGCAATAGCTTTAATATATTTTGTTTTAAGTTCTGTTAAAGTTGTTAATAAAAATCCTTAAAAAAACAGGCATGAAATTGCTTACAATGCAATTTTTCCATATAATTTCTCTTATTAAAAAATTCGTAAGGGTTCCGCAGAACCCAGTGTCTCGCCTACTTTTTCTGTTAATCGCAGGCTCAACAAAAATGAGGAAGTAAATCAATAAAAATATTCCTCTTGATACTATCTTTTGATTGTAAGAAGCTTCTGTCCAAGTTTGGTAAAAATCCAGGATAGTTTATGAATCTAATAAATGTTTAAAAACTTTAACTGTAGACTGAATGTAATGTTAACTGGCAAAAAACAAAATTTCCTTCTAGATGCTAGCATTTGATCATAAACAAGCTTCTGTCCAAGTTTGGTACAAATCCAAAATAGTATAAGAAAGTTATTAAAATTTTAAAAACTTTAACCACAGGGTGAATATGTTGTTTCCTGGCAGAAAATCTAAGTCCATTTAAAGTAAAATACGGAAAAAATGGATTTATTTTTTTACAAAATTTCCTTCTAGATACTAGCTTTTGATCATTAACAAGCTTCTGTCCAAGTTTGGTACAAATCCAAAATAGTATATGAAAGTTATTAAAATTTTAAAAACTTTAACCACAGAGTGAATGGGTTGTTTCCCAGCAGAAAATCTAAGTCCATTTAAAAGTAAAATAAGGAAAAAATGGATTTATTTTTTTACAAAATTTACTTCTAGATACTATATTATGATCATAAACAAGCTTCTGTCCAAGTTTGGTACAAACCCAGGATAGTTTAAGAAAGTTATTAAAATTTTAAAAACTTTAACCACAGAGTGAATGTAATATTTCCCGGCAGAAAAACTAAGTCCATTTATAAGTAAAATACGGAAAAAATGGAATTTTATTTTTACAAAATTTACTTCTGGATACTATCTTATGATCATAAACAAGCTTCTGTCCAAGTTTGGTAGAAATCCAGGATAGTTTAAGAAAGTTATTAAAATTTCAAAAACTTTAACCACAGAGTGAATATTTGTGGACGCCGCCGCCGACGATGCCGACGGAATGTAGGATCGCTATGTCTCGCTTTTTCGACTAAAGTCGAAGGCTCGACAAAAAGGTAGATCATAAAGATCATAAAACTTGTCCGAGACCTGGCTGATATGCAAACCTTTGTGATTAATTTCATAAATCTGACAAGAAATGTAGGTGTGAGAGTGCTGAAGGTAGATGGGGTGTCTAAATTATAATCCATAGAATTTTTTAATAATTTGCCAAAATGTAGTTTATATTTTATTGTTTTTAAAAAAAAAATAATAAAAAGAATGGGTCACGGGGCTTATTTTCACGCTACAGATTGTGCAAAATTGACAGATTTTGTATAGATTATGCATGGAAAACCCAATTTTCTGTCATAAAACGAAAACTACACCATAGAATTTTGAGATAAAATATGAGGAGATAGCTCAAATATTATGCTTTCAGATAAGAAAAAGAAAAAATAGGGTCACAGGACCCGTTTTCTTGCTACATAATAAAATAGGTAAATTCCTAACACATTCTATTGTAAAAATAACTTTATCTGAATTATCTGCCCTTACATTTGAGTTGCCTCCCCTTATGTGGCAAAGTTAGAAAAAATTGAATCAAACAAAAGTGTTCTGTTTTTTGTAAAATACAACCATAAATATGATAAAACATGTCATTTTCTATATTGAAATGAAAATTCTTACACATGAATTACCTACTACTCTAAAAGTTTGCACATTTTCTTAAAGATCTAAACCGATTGTTTTCTGGTATTTCAAAATCCAAGATGGAGGAAGACACCCTATCTACCTTAAAATACAATTTTCCTTTTTAATTTACATATCCAAGGGACATAACTCCTGAAAAAAGGGGAAAATAAGGAGATGTGGTCAGATTGCCATTAAGACAGCTTATATCAAAGACCAAAGGACATAGATGTGGACATTTACAGGTCAAAGTACAGCCTTCAAACAGGTTTTGTCAATGTCATGGGATGATGGCCCAAATAATGATCTTTGTTAATTTAGTAGTATAGATAGTTAGTGAAAGTAAAAGAGGTTCACAAATTTTCAGATTCAGTCCTGACATCTGTTGCATAAATGGTGCAACTATTTAATTTTTCAGTAGAAACAATTCTACTTACTATTAGCTTCAGGTATAGTTATCTCTGATGCTTCAACTGAGTACCCTACTTCATTCCATGAGAACACTGATATATTCACTCCTTTTCTACAAGGTAGAGACAAGGATGTATATGTTCGTCTGTGGACAGGGTAATTAGGCGATATCCCATCACCTGAAAATACCTTGACATTGTATCCTGACATCTGACCATTCTGGTATGTTTCTGGCAAATCCTGAAACAAGCACATTAGAGAATTATTTAACAACAAATAAAACAAGTGAAACTGCGAGCTACTGCTCACTGATGATACCCCCGCCCAAATACTTGACGGTAAACAGGAAGTTGTTGAGTGATGAATCTGAAAACGCATCACACGGTATAGCTGACTTATATAAACCCTGAAACCAAATTTCAGAAATCCTTTTGATGTAGTTCCTGAGAAAGATGCGACGAAAAATATTCATGGGATGGACGGACAGACGGACAGACAGAGGTAAAACAGTATACCCCCACTTTTTTAAAGTGGGGGTATAATAATAAAATGTAGAATATAATTCATAAGAGAAATATTATCAACATGGAAACTAAATGCATATAAATACAATATTTTGAGGGACAATTATAAAATTACAATGATAACATTAGCATATGTAAACTACATGCATATAAGTACAATATATTGTTTAACAATCATAAATATTCACAATAATCATTTCTAAACTTGAAATATAAGATACAACACAAAAAAAGGGCCCTTTATAGCTTGCTGTTCGGTGTGAGCCAAGGCTCCGTGTCGAAGACCGTACTTTGACCTATATTGGTTTACTTTTATAAATTTTGACTTGGATGGAGAGTTGTCTTATTGGCACTCATACCACTTCTTCTTAAAACTACACCTCGTAAATATTTTAAACCATAGAATTAATGCCTTGTTCGAGCAGTTTTTTCACCAACAAAATTCTGATATGACATTTGTGAGACATTATTTTCAAGTCAGTCTAGTTGGCAGTGTTCTGGGCCTATTTAAAACACCATTAGCTGCCAAATTCATGTCAACCTAATCGACTCAAACTCACATTTTAAATTGTATATATATCTCAATAACAAATGTTCCACAGTAATAATAAACTTCTATTCAATATTCCATTCTTTATACAGAGCAAAAATGTTGTTTTATGGTTAAGACGAGAAAGGTAAACATATTAGCTACAGACAATATAAACAAGTGAAACTGCGAACTACTGCTCACTGATGATACCCCCGCCCAAATATTTCGGTAAACAGGAAGTTGTTGAGTGATGAATCTGAAAACACATCACATGGTATAGCCGACTTACATAAACCCTGAAACCAAATTTCAGAAATCATTGTATTGTAGTTCCCGAGAAAAATGTGCCGAAAATTTTCAAATTGGCTATCATGTGTAAAATGATACAAGTGTTCGGTAAACAGGAAGTTGTTGAGTGATGAATCTGAAAACGAATCACACGGTATAGCGGACTTATATAAACCCTGAAACCAAATTTCAGAAATCCTTGTATTGTAGTTGCTGAGAAAAATGTGACGAAAAATTTTCATGGGACGGATGGACGCACTGACGGACTGACAGACTGATGGATGGATGGATGGATGGATGGACGGACGGACAGATGGATGGACTGACAGACAGAGGTAAAACAGTATACACCCACTTTTTTAAAGCGGGGGTATAATTAGAAATAATACAGACTTTTTTAATACTCTAACCATCTGTACCCCATAAAACTTGGACTTGTTATTGATGGTTATTAGATATAAAACATGTTATTTCATGGTTATAGCATAAAAATGTAATTATAAAAATTTAATGCTTCTTTTTATAATTTTAAAGGGTTGTACAAGCACTGATCGTATGAACATTTTTAGAATGAAGAGCTGTGCTTCAGTCAACACTTTTACACCTCAATCAAATTTCTACAAGAAGCATTCAATTCTTAAGTGAAAAGTAACGTTTCTAAGAGAAAGGTATTAAACAAAATAAAAAAGTTACTTAACTCTTCAAAACTTATTTTGAAACTGTAACCTACATTTTTGTTTTAAATATTAGTGGTTAAACTATGTTGTTAAAAATATATGCAAATGCATATTGTCTTGTTTTCATAATTTATGGAGATAAATGCATTAATAATTTATTAAGATGACATTTTAAAAAAATATTAATCTTTGCTGCACATTTATTAATTATTCACATAGTCCTTAGCATGGTACAATTTTCTAAAATCTACCTATTTTCCACATCTAAGTTTTTCGAGCACACCACTGTAACAGGAACTTTTAATATAAAATGTTGTGTTTTTGTAAATATAAATATTCAAAAGGTAAGTATGGTCAGGTTAAAAAATTAAAGGAAAATATTTTAACAAGAAAGATTATCCGTTTAAAGATTTTACAATTTTTTAAAGAATTTAGGAACAGGTCTTCCTGATTTTTGTACATGAATGCACAGTCTACTTGATGTATTCACATCCGAACAATGTTTGAATTTGTTTATGACTTAATTCCAAAAGTGTAAACCTTTCCTGCATATCAATTGATTTTGCTGGTAATTTTTTCCTGAATATCTCTAGACAAGTTGCTTATATATACAGAGAATTTGTGTGTAACAGTGATATATACAGCCTACATAGAAAATAAAATATATTGAGGTTTGTATCCAAGTAGTTTATTCCCAGAGCAACATTTCAAATCAATTTTACACAAAACTCATATAACCTGCTGTTCTTATAATTTGCCATATCAAGAGGGAAACAATTACATTATATTGTAATCTTAGTTTTATTTTCACTTTTTCATTATTACTGTTTACCATTTAACATTTCCTTTGGAACTTTTAATCCTGTGGATTCATTTGTTTTTGTGGGTACCAATTTTCGTAGATTGAGACAAAATTGCCGTACTTTGTGGATATTTGATTTCGTAGTTTTTCCATATTCTGCAAACAAGACTACAGAAAATTTGTAATTCGTTGAACATTTAATTTTAAATTCTCTGTTCACCTGTACCCACGATAATGGGTATCCCACTAATAGTAATGAACCCATAATAAATTTTCAGTGTTTGCCAGGGAGGAATTTTTAGCCACTAGATTTTCCATAGTATCGTGATCAAAATTTTATTTCTTTTTTTTTTGCTTAACATTGCTTCTTGCACCAGAAACCTTGCAATATATAAATTATGATCATATATAAAATCTGTAGGTTTTCCATAATTGATACAACCAAGAATAAAAGTATTATTGTGATTAATTTTAATATGGCTTGGTACTTGCTTTTTGTAAACAAATGCATGTTAAAATTTTCATTAAACTATACATTACATGCACTTGACAAAGAGGTCAAATTTGAAGTGACATACATTTTTTAATTGTTGGATATGCTATTTAAACAAGGAAATGTGATACATTTAAGTACTTTCTATGCTGAAAAAATGGTATAATCTACTTAAAGTATGTTTTTTTGTTTTCCATGTAATTAAAGGGACTCTTTTTCAGGTATTTGTTATTTCTGCCAAAATCAATATTCCTGAGTAGTATGTAATATTTGTGAAAACGCAGGGTTTATTTTTTAAATAATATACATTTTTTCCTATAGAACTTTAATTCAATGAAAATAAGCAAGAATGACCATATACTGTAAGCTGTAACATTTTCCAGTAAAAAATCAATACCAACAGAAATGTTTATGATATCACAAACATATAATAACTGACAATTCTGAAAAAAAATATAGATTATATCATTCTATATACAAATAAAGAGAAGTGGTATGATTGCACATGAGAAAACTATCCACAAGTGATCAAAGGATATATGGGTCATTGTACAGCTTTCAACAATGAGCAAAACCCATGCTGTATAGTCAACTATAAAAGACGCTGAAATGACAAGAAATGAAACAATTCAAATAAGAAAAACAACTGCCTAATTTATGACAAAACAATTAACAAAAAACAAATATGGCAGACAGCAACCAAGAACAACTACTGAATTACAGACACATGACTTGGGAAAGGCACATAAAGAATGTGATGGAGTTGAACATGTTATGAGTGCTCAACATCATCTTATCAACATTATATCATATATATACGAGGTGTAAATACTCTTTCTTATTAAAAGTATGACAAAAAAAAGGTCAGATAATCCTAAGAGATTTTAGCACCTACCTTCCAATACAAAGTCACATTACGATTGTTATTCCTACAGCCCTCAACCGATACAACATAACTTCCAGGAAAAACTTCTGGTGGTCGGTCAGGGACTAAATAAGAAAAAAATATATTATTACAGCTATTTCTTATTATAAGAAATATAAAAAAAAAAAAAAAACAGCTTATAATTCCCTTCTCATGTTGCAGGAACAATCATTTAAGAAGCCGACACTATCTTCTAACTTAAATTAATGTAATTCTAAGAATTAAACTTTCCCATAGTAACTTACACATAACACCAAATAAAATGTAATAATTGTACTGAACATCATTGCTTTATGAGAAATTTCTACCTGCAAATGTAAGTGTTTTAATTTCATTATTAGTATGTTAACTAGAATAAAACTCATTTGTTATCACTCATTACAAAAATCTATAGCTACAGAAAGGCAGTAAAGGAGGGGAATAGCCATCTCCATATGGCTGTAATAAAAGTTTGTCAACCATTCCAAAACTTCCATGAGATATGTGACTACTTGTTATATCATTGTATACCAGCATAATAACCTCTAAATTCTCAGCAGAATAATGGCATTTCTAAATATATTTAAGCCTCATAATTATTATCAGGTCAAAAGTATGTAGAACATGTAGAATAAAATTTAAATGAATCTACTTATTGTACAATTATATATTATATTTTGGCCCTTTATCTGAAAGATAATGGAAAGGAACACTGTTATATTTTCGAACCTCAGGTAAATTATGATGTTATGATTGGTTTAACGTCGTCATGTGGTGACCCACATAGGGGGTCAGTAGCAAACCATATAACTTATAATGTATTTTTATACTTTCATCAGTGATTTGTAACTAGAATAATATACCAAAAATCACCCCAACTCTGCCACACTAACTGAAAAGTTGAAAATTTCTCTTTTATGAGATGGAAAATAGCAGGATGTGAAAAGCAATTATTCATATCTAAAGAAGATTTAGCAAATGAATAAGAGTATCTGTACAAAAAATCTTACGGTCTGTCTCTGTTGTGGTGATGTTGATCACAGGTTCACTAGGATATCCAATATCCTCTCCTGGTCGTGTCACTATTGATATTTGATATTCTGTGTTTGGCTTTAGATCACAAACTGTTGTGTTAAATTCTCTTGACTCTTTTACCTGCATTAAAAAACATAATATTTTCATCACAAATTCAACTTGCACATTATTCGTTCAATTTCAATTTAAAAAAGTCAGAAATTTAATTTAAAGAATACTAAACTAACAAATTCTTAGTGAAACTAGAACTGACATGTAAGGATTGGCATGAGAGAGTAAACTAACAAATTCTTAGTGAAACTAGAACTGACATGTAAGGATTGGCATGAGAGAGTAAACTAACAAATTCTTAGTGAAACTAGAACTGACATGTAAGGATTGGCATGAGAGAGTAAACTAACAAATTCTTAGTGAAACTAGAACTGACATGTAAGGATTGGCATGACAGAGGAACAGAACAGATACTATATTTAAAACTGATGCAAATAAAGCAGTATATGTTCATGGGTGAGGAAAGAAAAATAATTTTGTATATGTTCTTCATAATACTGTGAAAGTACTTTTATTCGTGGGTATCAATTTTCGTGGTTTTAACAAAAGTTACATGTTAATGGGTTCTTAAATTCGTGGAATTAAGTTTTCTGAGAAAAAAATCGAGTGAAGTATTTGAAGCCATCCCAAAACGAAGATTTTTGAGAATATCTATATGTTGTTTTGTAATATTTTGTGGGACATTGCAAACTAAGGTGTTCATTTTCACTTACTTGATCGTCTTTCTTTACTGACAACATTCATTTTTTTTTTTTTATGAAATAATTGCTTTCGGAAAAAACTGATTTATCTATGCTTACAAATTGTCTTGATTGAAGAAGGAAATTGAAAGTAAACATTTTAATTGTTGCATACGTGTAATCATAAATTATGACACTGATTAACCTGAGATCGAATGATCAACAGATTGACGATTATCAAAGTTGTTAATTGGGCCATAAACATGTCACTTAACGAAAACGGTTACACAAAAAAATGCTACAAATGTACTTTGAATTGTGGAAATAATTCTTATGAAATAAAAAGCAAGCCCAATATGAAATGTTTTTTTTTTGTATGAGAATTATGAGGAGATAAAATGAACACTTCATCATTGTATATCATCACTGGAAGTCTGACTTTCATCGATCAAAAATATTTTTTCATGAGAATTGAAAGGTTAAAAAGTTATTCAGTTTAGGTTTCTAAAAGATTAGATGAGTAAAATCCTGTCTGAAGTTGTATATATAGTTCATAGTGCGTTTGCTGATATTCGATGTATTCTCTAGATTTTATGCCTGTATCCATGTAGTCAAAATTACATGAGGATCTTTCCATGTCTTGATTTAGACAACAGCTGTTATATTTCGTTGGACACTTAAATTTGTGGATAAAGTCATCCACGAAAATCACTAAAATTGGTACCCCACGAATAAAAGTACTTTCACAGTATTAATCAAGTTCTTTAAGTCAAAGCACTATGAAATTTTTTATGGATTTTGGCAACCATTTCATAATGGTGGCCCAAAGATAATTTGTGACACTGGGAATCAATTTGGAATAGGTTTTATACCTATATCTAAAAAAAAAATTGAAATCCTGGAACAAAAAGATGTTTCTCAAAATTTGTGATATTTTTTTTTAAATCTAAGCCTTTACCTAATACCACAACTAATTTGCCAAGTTTCACCCCTAAAAAATACACATACATGTATCTTCATATATGCATATAACTGTGAAAAATTTAATTGGTGTCCTCCCTTTGCTTTTAACTCAAAAGTGTGGGTAGGACAACAATAAAATTTTTCACATTTTTTTCTCTCAAATTTGTGATCTTTTAACAAACACTTTAGTTTTTTCAAAAATTAATTTACCAATTTTCACTAAAACATAATATTTACCTCTATAAATTATGCACACTAACTACATAATACATAATACATAATACATAATACATAATACATAATACATAATACATAATACATCGCCTTCCTACCTATATTTTGGAGTTTTGTGTTTAAAAAAATTGTTGATGAACAGACGGTCTAGACCACATAGGGCTCTCCATCCTCAATGCCGGGTCCTAATACAATAAATTTGTTTTCTTTAAAAGCTTTTCTTTCAACAAATGCAACTCGAAAACATGTATGGAGAATCACCTGGTAGCGAAATGCTATCTATGTAACTATAATCATTATTTGCTTAGTTTAAAGTAATATTTAAATCTGGCTTTTATAAAATCCATACTTAAAAATGTACTAACATAACGTATTTGCTTAATCGCAAGCTTACAGCAGTGTGAGTTTGCAATTAGACACAGTGGCCATTTTTGAAAAGACTGCAAGGATATCTAAAGACTGTTTTAGCACCACTGTATGTACTATAATACACTTAATTGTATCACAGTACCCAGGTTATATTTGTTTAACATAGCTTTTATTTAGGCTTAAGTAAATATTCAGCCTCTCTCTCCAGTTTTCAGACTCAATTTAAGATTTGACTAGGAATTGTATGCAAACACTACAACTTACCGACAAAAAAATTGAACTAGTGTGACAAATTTCAAACTTTTAATTCTTATCACCACAAAATGGGACTGTGAGTAGGCTATTGAGAAGGGTATAAGATGCACAATATGGTTTGGTTTTAATCAGGTATTACATTGAGTCATTGATATAAAAAAATGAATTGAGCAGTTATCAATCTGTTTTGTCATATTTACCTTATCATCGTTCCACTTTGAAGTAATATGGATGATGAATATCTTTGACCTGTGTACTCTCTTGTGTACCCACTTTAATGAGACACATTTACTTGTAATAGATGAAATCTCAATCATATCAACTGGACTTGGTTTCACTAAAATAAAATATATCTAATATTTAGTATCACTACTTGTGGAAGTCAGTTTAATGTTGTTACTTCATGTAAGAAGAGGTAGGTAATTCATTTCAATGAAAATTAGCATGATGCCTGGTACACCATATTGAACCATAAGTTCCTAGTCATATCTAACCTTTCAAACTCAGTCTATTTTTATTGTTGCCACTTCCATGCATATAATATCTGAACTAAGGTCCTAAATCCCTGTGCATTTTACTTGATTATAAAATGTTACCTACATACTCATTAATTAAGGACCGACCGTGCAAGGGCTCTATAGCCAGTCAAGGTCGTTAAAAACTTCCATATATATATTAATTAAGGAAGAACAATCAGAAAATAAAATTTATTTCCCCAGTGTTTGATCATAAATATGATGTTCAAATAGTAAACTGTTGGAGAAAAAAAATATGTTCAATATATTCACAAATACATACAATTAATTATAAATTTGAGTCATAATTCAAATCATTCTAAAAATATAGATCAAGATATATTATTATACTTTACTGTAAAAAGCCAAAATTTGATTGCCTAATATATAGGAAGGAGATTCTGGCTAAGCGGGAGACAATTTTTTTAATGTCAACCTCTCGTGCAGACCAATCAAAATTAATAATTTAAACAACTATGCATTGAATTTACATCAACAATTTTAAAGACAATGCTCAAGTTCTACTTTTTGGCCTCAGAACTTTTTCATAGACTGTCAAAATAAAAGATACATCTTGCTTTACTGTTGTTGTTTATCAAATAACTGTAACGTTGTAATGTACTTGATGTCATAGCTTATTACTTTCAATTTAAAATTTAAAAGACGATAATGGCAGATCATTCAGTATAATAAGTTAATTAACATAAAGCTGAGAGGGTGATAGAGCAGATTGTTACATAGAGAAAACACTGTCAATCTTGGCTTCACCTCAGTTGACAATGTTTTCTCAGGGTAACAATCTGCTCTATCACCAGTACCCTCTCAGCTATGTGTTATTTATATGTAATAAAATTATGAAAAGAAAAGTAGGGGTTAGTGGGCAAAATTTTTACATTGAGAAAACATTGTCAATCTTGGCTTCACCTCAGATTACAATGTTTTCTCAGGGTAACAATCTGCTCGATCACCCTCTCAGCTATGTGTTATTTATATAATATCACACAAGTTTTTTTCAAGAATTTCCTGTCAGTTTTTTAATAAAAAATTCTCTGTACAATGAAACTGCATGTGCCTCGTTTTGCCAAAAAGAAAAGAACTAGAGGCTCTCAAGAGCCGATGTCGCTCACCTGATTCTACTTTGGTTTTGGAAATCATGTTAAAATACATTCAAATCATAACAGATATCCTAATAATGAGTGAGGCCAAATTTGGTTTAATATTGGCCCTGTAATTTAATAAAAAATCCTGGTGGCCATCTTGAACAGTAAATCAGCAACAAAGTAACAACACTTCATCAGCACCTCATAAGAAACATTTATGCCATGTTTGGTTTCATTCCATTCAGTGCACCTCTAGAAGAAGCATTTGTATGTATTTCCAATAGGGTCTTATGTTAAAGGAAGTCCCCCGCTGGCTGCCATCATGGATGAAGGATCAGCTTCAAAGTAACAACACTTAGTCAGCACCTCATAAGGAACATTCAAGCCATGTTTGGTTTCAATCCATTCAGTGGTTCTCTAAAAGACGACATTTGTATGTATTGTCCATAAGGTCCTTTGTTAAACACTGTCCCCAGCTGGCAGCCATCTTGGATGATGGATCAGCTTCAAAGTAACAACACTTGGTCAGCACCTCAAAAGGAACATTTATGCCATGTTTGGTCTCATTCCATTCAGTGGTTCTTTAAAAGAAGACATTTGTATGTATTTCCCATAGGGTCCTATGTTAAACTAAGTCCCCCCCCCAAGGCGGCCATCTTGGATGATGGATCGGCTTCAAAGTAACAACACTTGGTCAGCACCTCATAAGGAACATTCATGCCATGTTTGGTTTCATTCCATTCAGTGGTTCTCTAAAAGAAGACATTTGTAAATATTTCCCATAGGGTCCTATGTTAAACTAAGTCCCCCCCCCCAAGGCGGCCATCTTGGATAATGGATCGGCTTCAAAGTAACAACACTTGGTCAGCACCTCATAAGGAACATTCATGCCATGTTTGGTTTTATTCCATTCAGTGGTTCTTTAAAAGAAGACATTTGTATGTATTTCCCATAGGGTCCTATGTTAAACTAAGTTCCCCCCCCCCCCCCCCCCCCCCCCCAGGCGGCCATCTTGGATGATGGATCGGCTTCAAAGTAACAACACTTGGTCAGCACCTCATAAGGAACATTCATGCCATGTTTGGTTTCATTCCATTCAGTGATTCTCTAAAAGAAAACATTTAACAAAAAGTTAAGGATGACGACAACGGACGACGACAACGATGACAACGACGGATGACGACGGACGCCAAGTGATGAGAAAAGCTCACTTGGTCCTTCGGGCCAGGTGAGCTAAAAAGAAAATAAAAAGTTTTTCCTGTCTGCTGACCCTTTAAAATTATTTTGTGTTAGGGGAACCAACATTCATATTTGCAATGGCCTAAATGCAAAAAATGCATATGCTTGTACTTTATGATTCATGACATCATACTTTAATTATCTGCACACCAAATAAATTCCAATTATTGAGGTAACTATGAGGGCAAAACTATTGAATGATAAATGTCATAACCAACAAATTAAAACTTAACCTGTATTTTAGTCCCTGAAATTGTGTTCCAAATTCAAAAGATTTGGTCAAGCAGACTAATTGATATTTTGGTTTTAGTCATAGACACATGTAAGTGCTCTTGGATCTGTACATTGTGTCTTTTGTGTTTTTGTTAGGCTTTTTATGTACTTTGTATAGATCAGATAAGTAAAGCCCTTTTCAACTGATTTTTATAGTTTGTTCTTTTGTTGTACTGTTACACCACTGTCCCAGGTTAGGGGAGGTTTGGTGGCAACAAACATGTTTAACCCCGTCACATTCTGTATGTGCCTGTCCCAAGTCAAGAGCCTGTATTTCAGTGGTTGTCATATGTTGCTGTAAATCATATTTGTATTTCAGTGGTTGTCATATGTTGCTGTAAATCATATTTGTTTATCTTTTATTGTTGTGTACATAAATCAGGCCTTTAGTTTTCTCATTTGAATTGTTTTACATTTGTCATTACGAGGCCTTTACAGCTTACTATCAATATGGGTTTTGCTCATTGTTGAAGGCCATACAATGACCTATAATTGTCAACTTCTGTTATCATTTATTTCTGGTGGAGAGTTAAGGATGTTTGCTACTCTTGTTTTTCACTTTTTGTCAGATATTTGGAATCTTCTAGTTTTATCCATGTAGTGCCAATAAAAATATTGCCCGCTAACCCCTACTTTTCTTTTCATTATTTTATTACATATAGTTTAAAAAAGCCATTTTTGAAAATCTTATAAAATCCTTGTTATTTTTTCATAGTTTTTGAAAGAAAAAAGGTGCCAATGTTAAATGTATGAAAAATCTAGAGAGAATCTTTTCCCACCGTTATCAATTGGTTATATCTCAAAAACCAAAGACAGGACCTGTCATTTTTTTCTGCTTTTTAAGTTCAATTATTAATTATTATTTTAAAACAGAGGAGCAATTCATCCTTAATAAGTTGTCTCATTGGCAATCATACCACATATTCTTATTCTTATATATAATCATAACTATATACTACCCTCACCTCATTCAAGGTGCATATGTAATAATTTTAAAATCATTAATCCACATGAATATGTTAATAAGACAGAATTCCAAGTCATAAAGCAGTTAAAAAATCATGAACATCTGTACAAAAATTTGTTACCTTGAACAATAAATAGGCGTTAATAATCATAGCTTTAAATAGCCTTGTACAAGTATAAAATCTGTTTTAAAACTTAGTTTTGGTCCCGGTATCATGGCTAGCATGTTCTATTATCTACTGCATCATTTTAAGACAAAGATTAGTGTGGTCAAATTTTGTATGTAAAACAAAGACTGGAAATTTATGTGAAAAAAAAATTACACATATGTATTACAACAAAGTAAGGAAAAGAGAAGAAAATGTAATTTTTGTCACAAAAATAGTTTTATAATTTATGTTGATATTAGCAAATTATTTTTACAATAAGGAAAAGATTAGTAGCAATTATTTATATAATACTTGGTCAGTAATCAGTTTAGACAAATGATGACATTTTACCAGATTTAGCTTGTTTAACAGTTATCCAACCTGTGTCCACCGATACATCACGCAAGGTGTTTTTCACATTTACATTTAAGTACAAAGTAGATCTATCAAACGAAATCCCTCCTCCTTGATACAATGAACAATTCAGTAAATTCATATTAGGACAGCTTCCAGAATTACCACTGTAAGATAAAATATATACCCATGAGAATGTTTTTTTAAATAATTTTAAAGTATGTATAGTTGATTTTCTTTCTAAACCAATATATATATTCATAAATTGATAACAAGAATATATTGTTAGTTACATTATAAAAAGCTGGCAACAGTGAAAGCTTTTGAGGTCTACGAACATAATGTTAAGAGGGCTAATCAAAATCAAAATGTTCCATTAACTTTATATTTCTTACAGTTGATTTAAAATTTGTACCGCAAAGGCAACAAATTCATATATGGCTTATATGCAATATCATTGCATGAATTTTATGCCCAACTGATACGAGAAGCAATTTTAAGTATTGGTTTTATTCAACTATTATATAAAATTTTTCAACTGTTGAACACCATTGCAGCTTTGATAAAACCAATTAGATAATTAGTTTTTAAGCCATAAATATCCTGCCATGAACGACAATATTCATTACCACTATATTGACATAAATTTGAAAAACCACTAAAATTTGCCTTCATTAACCTTTTATGGTCAAATTAAAACAGTTACTGAAGTGAAAATGACCAAACTTTATTATTTAGTATCTAAGAAATGAACTTGGGATATTAAACTTATTAGGAATCAATGAAGCATAAATGATAGGATTTGTTATACTCTCTCTGGAATGCATAAAGTTTTATAATTGTATATCACTTACTATCAAAAAATCAACTCAAAGTAAAACTTATTATAAAGTAAATAGAGTGAAGTATGTAAGTCAAAGAGACCTACTTTTGAATAAACACTTAAATACTCTCCTCAACATATCTTTACCCATCTATATGACATTATGTAACCTCATCATTGAAATCTGAACATCGACCTTTAACTTATTACATGTGAATGTGTCAGAGTGTGTCAGAGTGACTAGGAAGCTGGTTTACTACTCAAGATGCATCCTTGCACCAGTGATATGATTGTCATTCAACTAGCATCTTGAAGATCTGAACTCAAGAATATACCAGAGTTCAAATGCTAAAAAATTTCCTGCTAGACTTATTATTGATTTTTTAATCTTTAATTTGTTTGGATGTGTGGTCTTCATTTTAGTGGTGTCTTCAACCTATGCCAACATTTGAAAAATATATATTCAACCTATGCCTACAAACAAAATACAATGGGTGTTGTTATAACAATTAATATTTATTTACAGGTAAAATACAGTCAGTATTTTAAAGCATTAAAAATTACTCCTTTAGAATAAAATAAACAACAGTTAAATACTTGCAAAATTATGTTGTAGTAAAAATATTCTTGTAAGGTAAAATACTTCCAAAATTTTGTTGTTCTAAATATAAAATTTAAACAAAACAAACAAAAATAATTGAATAAATAAAAAATTATAAAAATTAAAAACAATTAAAGTAAAAAAAATTTTTTTGGGGATTTTTTTAATATACAAGATTTGCTCACTTATGACTTGTTGCTGAGTATCCAAGCTAAAAATGTATTAAATCTGATTCATGTTCTATATCTAAATTTTAATTTTATTTTGAAAAAGTGCTTTATTAATTTTGGTAATCATATATAAAAAATGGGCTTAAACTAGTTTTCACAGAGCTCTTTAATTCAGTACGATTTCTAAGTCTTAGAAACATAATTACCCATTGAATCTAACAATATTTTATAAAAGAATAGAAATATATACACAGAGAATTACAATTTGCTGAGCACATATGAGTAGCGGCATAATTATTTTAATGTACATGATATGTATAAACGGTAATATGTCAGACTGCTTCTGAAATTTTCAGATTTTGACATGCCAGATATGTTCTTTCTAGAAAATATACCAAAGGGACATTCAAACTCATAAGTCGAAAATAAACTGACAACGCCATGGCAAAAAAGAAAAAGACCAAAAGACAAACAACAGTATACAAAACACAACATAGAAAACGAAAGACTGAGCAACACAAAACCCACCATAAACCGGGTGTGGTCTCAGGTGTCCCACAGTATTATCAGATATATTTTTATATAATATGTATATATATGTCTCTGGTATGATGTAATAGTGAACATTGTAAAATTGTATTTAATTCTGAAGTCAGTATTTACGAAATATGTGTTTTTTGTATATTAGAATACATGGATGGAAATGCAGAATAAAGCACTATTGTAATAAGAAGTAACACACATATATACAAAAACACAATTATTTCATAGATACTGAACTGTGAAAAAATACACTTTTCAATGTGAAGCCGATTTTAAATAGTGCTATATTCATTATTTCCATGCATTTGACGTAATTCTATACTTTTAGAAAAATATCATCAAACATTTTCATCATATATTGTATGATATTCACATGATACTGGTATATCCTGAACATGCATGAAATCTTTGCCACTGGACTTTAAGCAACCTTCAATCATCAATTATTTTATTATGTTAATTCCTAATACAAAAGAGATCAGCAACACATAGAGTTGCCTTCATTTTTACTATTACAAGTAACAAAAATAGTAGTGGGTACACTTTAACGCCAATTTTAAACTGGTTGTTAATTGATTGGCCCCTAATTATTTTTTGTTTTTATAACACTTAATCTGTTATATTTTATTCAACCTATGCCAACACTTTTTCAAACAATTTTATACCTAAATTTCAAAATGTTGGCATAGGTTGAATGAACCATTTTAGTAATAATCACTTAATATTACAAATATATATCCTTGATAAAGGGCTGCTTCCCTGTATGAGGGTTTTAATCTGAAATTTGAGATCATCTCTTCACATGTTTGATGGATGCCATCATGACTTAGTTGACTGTTACTGAATATGTGTCATTAATATATCTGTGGTAAACCTCAATTTGTACTTAACTCAATCCTATCCTGGTTCCACTTTCATGACTTATAATCACTTATCATTGCCAGGAGCATCACAACAGGAGCAACTAGTGGAGCAAAAATTGTTATCCATTTCTGAGCACCTGAATTCATCCCTTTTTGTGGTTGGGACGTTAAGCACAATCTTAAGGTTTTTGGGCAGTATTTTGTGGGCAATTGTTTGTCTTTCCCTTTCATTTTCTTTTAACTTTGGTGTTGCCTCATTTTCGTTTTGACATGCAATATAATTACCCTGTTGGGATTTTTTTACTATGTTGCATATTGTACATTGCATATATGTATTTATAAAATCTTCCAATGCAAATCCCCTAGACTTCACATATATATATATATATACATAAAAATAATCAGTAAAATAAAGAAAGCTGTAAACTAAAATAAATAACTGCATTAGCTAGTTATACAAGTATTTTACTTCATGCAGACAGACTACAATAAGACATCTATTTCTAGCAGGAGCTTAAATAATTGAAAAAGAGTATAATCACCTCTCTCTATAAATTTAGATATTTTATGCCACTTAATGAGTTACAAAAGGGAACTAGACAAAATGATGCCCCTGCACTCCACTCTGAAGTAACTGTATTATAAAAAAGTAAATGTAGGACTTTCTTTGAGATATTATTGTGTCTGGGAGAATGCAAAGTGTTATTCTAAAATACACAAAGTTGAGCATGGGAGCACATAGGTCTATGGTTCACTGTAGGAGGAGTTATGCGGAAACGCTATGCACCTCTTATGCAAGTAAATACTCCAAAAAATGACAAAGTTCAACTATCTCCCAAAAGAGCAAATATTAATAAAAATCAAAACCCTGACCACATGCACACCTTCAATATATGTACAAACAGCCAGCAAAGTGAAAACTTCATAGCATTCAAACTGCAGGAGGAGTTATTTGAAAATACTATATACCCATAATGGAACGGACGGACCTTAAACAATATGTCCCCCCCCCCCCCCCCCCCCCCAACTTTTAGTTGCTGGGTTATAAAAATGAAAAAAATCAGCATTCCCCTCATTTTATATCCTTACTTTTATAAGCAAGCAAAAACATCAGTATGATAATTAAAGTTTCCATACTTTCACATTTTTAAACAGTGTACATATAATCCTAAGATCAATCTTAACTAGTTGCAATTATTTAAGTGGACTACAACTAATGTTTCCACCTTTATCTATAAAGGTCACTCCAGTAAAGAAAAGGCCAAACAAACACATACTACTACTGTCAAGGTTATTGTCATGATAAAGAAGAATATATGGTAAATAGGAGATAATCTTAATTGTTTCAATATATTAAACAATATATAATATGAGGTGGCGGGGCTTGACTCTCAACCCCACCACTGGAAAAATTCTGTGGTGTACTAAAAATGCCTTTAATGTCATAGGAATTCAAAATATGTCTTTATGGTTTGGGGGATGGAACCTGAGCAGTTTGTGATGTATTAAACAATCTAAGATAAGGGGTTGGGGCAAAACTCCCTAAAACAAAACCTTTGGTCCACTGCTAAGGTCTAGTCATGACTATGAACAATTATATGGTTTAAGGGTGGGCATCTGAACATTTTTCTAGATATTATTTACTTAACAATAAATGATATGACAGGGAGGGGGCATCTCCTACAGGGACAAAACCTATAGTGCACTAGAAAAGTCAAGGTAATTTAGAAAAATATGGTTTTGAGGTGTGGATCTGAACTTTTATTAAGATATTTAAAAATTTATTATAAGATTGGGAGAGGAATGACACCCCCTCCCTTTTTCTCAAGGGTCAAACCCTTAAGGACACTGAAAAGATTTTTCCATGGCAAACAAGAAAAAATATGGTTTTGTGGTTGACATTAAAATGTCAATGTCGGAGGTCAATTTCAATGGTACATTACACATTTTCTTAAGGTGGTGTACCCATGCACCAAATATCAAAAGTTAATGTCAAAGTATAATAAAAAAAAAGCTATGTGTGGACACAATAGTCCCCAAAAAAGTCCCTATGAAACATTTCTCCAAAGTTGGTAGCTGTTGACCTTACTGCAAGCTTTTCAGGGTTTTGCTGACATTACTACAACTAACCTCTATTCTAGCAAGCAATTGTTTTGAATGGTCAACAAGATTACTATAAGGATGATTCTTTCAACTAAGAATAAAATGTTTCTTTTTGTAATTTTATTAGAGGTGTAAAAGCATTGAAAAGATAACAGTGGAAGTGCTTCATGCTAAAAAAAATTGTGCGTTCAAAGCTTTTTCAACCCTATACAATTCCAAAAGGAAGCATTCAGTTCTTATAATTACATTTTTATGCTACAACCATAAGTTGAATCAGGCCTTTTGTTTGTTTTTCTGTGTGTTATTTCAAATGTTGTCGCCTATAGCCATAGATGTTGCATTTTATTGGGAAATAAAAATACCTTGACAAATGCCTCGGCCAATCAAAATTAGGGAATGGTACGTAACACCTATGTAAATGATAATAAGGTGATCCCGTGATGACATCCTATATATGATGAAATAATGAACCGGCTTATCAATGACACAATGGGGCCTCGGTGGCCGAGTGGTCTAAGTAGTTACTACTGTAATCACTAGCCAGTCAACACTGAGGTTGTGAGTTCAAACCCCGCTCGTGCGGGTGCACTCGACTCCAATCTTAATTGACTAGGATTGTCAGTTTTCCTATCGAAGGTCAGTGATTTTCTCCGGCTTCCTCCACCAATAAAAACTGGCCGCCACTAAATAGCCCAAAAGCGGTGTTTAAAAGTGGCGTTAAAACACCAAAAATCAAAATCAAAATCAATCAATAACATAATTGCGAAGCTGTTTAAGAATGGAAAATTATCTATGCACCTGGGATGGATAGTATTTTAAATGAAATATCTTAAAAATACTCCCCCTGAGGTTATCTCACTGAATACCTTAAAAATACTCCCTCTGAGTTTATCTCACTGTATATCTTAAAAATACTCCCCCTGAGTTTATCTCACTGAATACCTTAAAAATACTCCCCCTGAGTTTATCTCACTGAATACCTTAAAAATACTCCCCCTGAGTTTATCTCACTGTATTGTAAACGTTTTAACACTGGTTTGGCACTGGTATTATTATAAGTGAAAGAAAGAATTTCTTTTCTAATGAACTGGAATTAATCACTTTTCTCATCAGGAGTATTATAAGTTGTTTAAACCTCAATTTGGTCTCGAAAATTATTTACTAAGTCTTCCAGAGAATAAAAGATAATGGGTTTCGAAACTTGAGAACATGCAATCTTAAAATTCCTATAGAAACTGGTCGATTGTACAACATCTCCAGAATTGATGATACCTGTACCTTATTTTGAATGTGTTGGTGATGATTGATGAATATCATTATTCATATGTATGTCAAAATTCGTAAGGGTTCCATAGAACCCAGTGTCTTGCCTACTTTTGCTGCTAGTCACAGGCTCAACAAAAATGGGGAAAAGATTATTAAAAATTTTCTTATAGATACTATCTATTGATTGTAACGAGCTTCTGTCCAAGTTTGGTAAAAATCCAGAATGGTTTACGAATCTAATAAATGTTTTAAAAACTTTAACTACAGACTGTATGTAATGTTAACAGGAAGAATAAATTGCTTCGCCGAGCGCAGCTGGGTACGACCTCAGAGGTCCAACCCTGAACAGTTGGGGCAAAAATGGACACAATATTCACACTTGATACAGGTCTGAATTTGGATTATAATAAAATATTTGACACATAATAGGTTTCTGACACAGAATAACTGTAGTCAAAGAACTTAGAATTGGTTATATGATTTGAATTTATATTCAATTTTTTGCTTTTGTGCAATACACTTCCCTGTTGCAATTGACCCCCCTCCCCCCACAAAAAAAAAGAAAAAAATTACCCCCCCTTTTTTTTTTGCTTTTGTACAATACACTATGCTACCCCCCCCCCCCCTTTTTTTTTTGAAGAATTTACTTTTAATTTCTCATAATCTCAATTCAAATTTCCAATGGAGTTTGCAACCATAATTACCCATTTAAATACATCATAAAAGTCTTAAAATAGAAAATGACATACATAATCATGGCTTAAATTAATATTCCTTAATAGTAACTTCTAAAAATAAATTGACAGCTAATCATCTCAAGACAAAACAACATTTCTTTATACATAATATAAAAGCAGTGTAAGGGAAGTAATCAAAACGTTGTGTTTAGATTACCTCCCTTACACTGCTTTTAAATCGTCTTAATTATCCATTAACCAGGAAACCCTTGTTTTTCCCCCTTTTTTGCCCCCAATTCATAAATGGTTTGAGCCATAACCCCCAAAGCAAATCCTAACCATCCCTTTGTGGTATGGAAACTTGTGGTATAATTTCAGAGAGATCCATACACCGTTCCACAAGTAATTGTCTGGAAACTAGAAAAATGCTTATTTGGGCCCTTATTTGGCCCCTAATTCCTAAACTGTCCATAACCCCCAATATCAATCCCAACCTTCCTTTTCTGGTTATAAACATGTCATTTTCGGAATTCCTGGGTTATTTAACGACCCAGCAGGTATTTAAAAAATCCTGGGTGAGGGGTGAAAATCTCGGATCACACCCGCAGGATACGGGTCAGTTGACAGGTATGGCTGTCATTATGTCACTGTCGGTCATTACAAGTTAACTTTATTTATCAAGAAACTGTCTACATTTTCCTGTCTATTCTGTAATTTAATGTGTTTGAATTGTAATTTGTCCTGGTGTTACACAAATTTTGTGTCTGAGTGTAAAAAAAGAATCAAATTGAATTGTCAAACAGACAATGAATGTCAAGTGATGGCTCTTGCTCACATGGCAAATGGCCAAATTAAAACTAAAACAATGCAAGGTGTAAAAATGTAACCAAACAAACATGAACAGTGCAACTAAAACTGCAACACTTGTAAACTAAGCGTCAAAAAAGTATCACATTCATATTCTCATTCATCACCACATGTATTTAGAGTTAAAAGCTATAAAAATAACTGAAACAGAAATATTCAAACCAATCTTCATAAAATATTCATAAACATGAAAATTGGAACATTCTAATCTAACTTTTGTTTTTATAGATAATGACAGATTTACACAACACATGTTTTTTGACACTTACTTTTCCTCAATTCCATCTGATCTGAAACAAGAATCAAACAAAATGTAACCTTGGTAACAAAAAATAATATTGATGTATCATACTGGAAAGCCAAAATTCTGCAAATGTATCCTGGAATGTCTTAAATATTTGACTGGTGGATAAATAAAATAAAATAAACCTCAGAAAGATGGAGAAAACCTCAATACACAACACTGCAATAAATACTTATAAGCAGTAATTCTATATTTTTCATACATTTAGAAATTGAGCTTAAAAAAGAAAGGGAAACTTTTAAAAATATGTACCAATTAAATGAGAGGCTGATCAAGTATTAAAAAAAAACCCAAGGGTATAGCCCAAATGCAATATTTCTTTTAATAATTCATCTATGGATACCCTTTCCCAAAAAATAAATAACATTTTGGAGCAAAATTTGAATTAGTTTCTTATACCACTTTTTGTTACCAATATGAAAATCAACAAAATCATGCAGTTTAACAATGAGTGAATTACCCTTAAAAATGTCCTTGTCTTTGGTGCCATTAAATTTCCTTTTGATCAATAATTGATTTTTATGCTTTGTGTTTGTCACCCATATTTCAATTTTAAATTTGTTTTTCAGCAATAATGCAAAACTGATATATCCGATGGGCCATATACATGTGGTTAAAGTTGGTCTCTGTGGACATGCTGTATACGAGTTACTGATTGTTTTCCTGTAAATTTAATTAAAATGTATCATATCATAAAATCAGTTAGGCCTCTATATCTAAAGTATCCAATAACCAAAATGCCAATTTCAACAAAAAAGCAAATCAAGGCAGTTCAAGTTTGAAAGACTTTGAAGACTATACCCTTTACAAGAGATAAGGAAAGACTGCATGATAAAAACCTATATAATTAATAAATGTCACACTAAAAAAATTGAAAGTAAATTTTATTTGTGGTAACAATATGACCATTATCAATGTTAATGTTTCTTCTAACTTCTAATCAACATATACCACCATTTCGATATTATCAGTACATGTATTACGATTTTGGCAGACTTTTTTATTTCTTCAAAATATCAAACTTGATATATGCAATTAAATTTCAGCTGTATTCATACAAACGCTGCAGCTCATAAGAAAAATATCACATTTCATAAAGTAGCAGGTTATTTCAGAACTTTAAGAATTGTTTGGATGTCAGAACATGAAAATTTTCTGCATGCAAAGTTTCATGCAATACCTAGCTCTGATCAAATTGATCACAACTGCTAATAGAAAGATTACAAGAATTGTGTATATAATTTTAAATCCTATTTTAGTATTCCATTGAAGAATGTGGTGGACCAAAACAAAACTTCACTATTTCTATTAAAGTGGTTACATTACTGCAGTTCTTTAGAAAGATAATCATATTTTTCAGAAGATAAAATGAGCTTTAATATGTCTGTTAATGTCCGTTGGTCACTAAATTTGCATAACAGTTATTTTAAGTTGCAATTTAATGTTTTTATGAAATCCTGTTCACAGTTTCAAATTTCAAGTTTACATTTTATTAAACAGAATAAATAACCAAAAAAAGAACCACCTAAATAAAGTGTATTGTTGTACCAGGAAGTTCCTGATTATATAACATTCGATGGCAAAGAGACTTGTAATTTGAATCTATGTCTTCAAAATTTACCTGTATATCATTGTTTTGCGGGTATTCTGTGTTCAAACACAGGTATTCTATGTTTGAATGACAATTTTAAAATTTGCTCATTGATTTTTGATTAAAAAAAAGTTAAAATTACACTAAAAATGAATGAGTGTATAGCTGCATAGGGTTACTTTTATTTCCATAATCTTACTATAAAGTTTTTGTTCTATTCTCTAGAAATGGTAAATATTCTAGTGGTAACTAGATCGAGAAGTGTAAAAACTTGTAATTCACAAAATTATGTGGAAAGTAAAATATTATAAAACTGTGACCAAGCTGTGACAAAGAAAATTAGGAAGATTGGATGCCAAAGAAATTAATACGGTCACTTTTGTCCATGTAAAAATTAAATTTTACCTAATATATCATTAAGCAGCAATCATGAATTTAAATTTCAGACAATAAAAATATGAAAGAACTTGTCGTTACTAGAACAGAGAAACTTTGTTCTGTTTGTGTCAAAAATATTGATACAGTAAAAGAATGATATCTGTATTATTTTTCAATCATTAAATATGTTTACTGGTAAGAACCATCCTATATATAGTACAAACAAGTTGGACACACAATGAAATTCATCCTTAACAAAGTTAGACAATGAAAATTCATCCTTAGCAACAAGGTTGTTACAGCTATGACAACATAACTGACTGTGGGGACAAAATTCTTATTTATTGAATCTAATGCATTCTGGGTAATATTTTACAAATGTTAACATGACTTGTTAATAACATCATAAACAATGGGTAGATAACCTATGGTGACACACCAGCAAATTTTTTGGTGTACGAATGAAGAAAATGCCTTTAAATTATAATAAACTGTTATCACAGAGAAATGTCTCGCCTTTTTGTAATTTTGATAATGCAAGTGTTGAAATTAAAATAGCAATACTTCAACATGTAAGTTTTTCAAATATTCAAAGTCGATGAACCATGACTGAAAGAACATGGCTAAACAATCTCCATGGAAATGAGATGTGCCAATGCTAATACAACTGCATACCAAATACCACTGACTTATTATAAGTTATTCCCTTTAAACAAACCTAAACACAAACATTAACTTGTAAACTTTGTAAAAGTTTCAAAGTCAATGAATCATGATGATGGGGTGGGGCTTTATAATCTCCATGGAAATGATACTCGCAAATGCCAATAAATTTGTATACCAAATATCATTGACTTAACATTAGCAGTTCATCTTAAACTGATCTATTATCACAAACTTATACATGTAAACTAAGCAAAAGTTTCAAAGTCAATAGACCATGACTGAGGGGGCAGGGCCAAATATTCTCCATGGAAATGAGATGTGCTAATGCTTATACCACTGAATACCAATTAACATTGGCCTACCACTAATAGTTCTCCTTGAACTGAACTTATCACAAACTAATACATGTAAACTAAGCAAAATTTTCAAAAGCAATAGACCATGACTCAGGGGGCAGGGCCAAATAATCTCCATGGAAATGAGATATACCAATGCTTATACAACTGCATACCAAATATCATTGACCTACCACTAGTGGTTCCCCATAAACTGACCTAATCACAAACTAATACATGTAAACTAAGCAAAAGTTTCAAAGTCAATAGACCATGACTTAGGGGGCAGGGTCAAATAATCTCCATGGAAATGAGATATACCAATGCTTATACAACTGCATACCAAATATCATTGACCTACCACTAGTGGTTCCCCATAAACTGACCTAATCACAAACTAATACATGTAAACTAAGCAAAAGTTTCAAAGTCAATAGACCATGACTTAGGGGGCAGGGTCAAATAATCTCCATGGAAATGAGATGTGCCAATGCTTACACAACTGCATACCAAATATCATTGACCTACCACTTGTGGTTCACCATAAACTAGACCTAATCACAAACTAATACATTGTTGACGCCGCTGCCACCGGAAACAGCATACCTATGTCTTGCTTTTTGACTCCGTCAAGGCGAGACAAAAAGAACGAATTCTACTAGCAATACTTCAGGTGAAGAAACTCATTTCATTTCCAGACTTTCCAAATAGTTTGTTAACTTTAACAACTGAAAGTGAACATTCTTTCATTGCCTTAGATAAACAAATAGAGGACAAATGAAAAAAAAATATTAAGCTTTTATAACTAATAAACATACATAATCAATGTTGTGTTGATAAAATGCAAGTTCCTATAATTCACACCCAAGTCCCAGCTACATTCCATTTTCTCATCCCAGTCATAAATAATACAACTGAAGTTTTTAACAGGTTCTGGACGGTCTACAAAACAAAATATACACAGAACAATTATATAAAAAATCAAATCACCTTTTTATTAGCAGTTAAATAAAATATTACATGACATATCAACTGATGAAACTAAAAAAAAAAATTTAAAAAACTAAAAAATGATAAAAAAACTTTGTGTTTAAATATTTTCATGTAGTTATTAAAGAGACATCTTGCTGATGGATGATTCAACATTCATAAAAAAAAAAACAAGCTCTTTTTTATATTTCTTGAAAAAAGGGGGAGATGATTCCAAAGATAACACACTCTAAAAAATTCTCTCACAGGAAAAAAAAGATAAAAGAATAAATGTCCACAAGCAATGATGCCTCACCCCAAACAAATGACAAGGTCCACCAAATTGAGCAATACACATAATGAATATATTAAGTCAAAGGAGAAGGGGCAATAAGGCTCAGATTTGGTCCCAAACTTTAAACTTACCATACATTATCTTTAATTCTAATGCAATTTGTTTAGAATGATAAGTATTCATTGGACATTGACAAATATTTTGAAGGGTTAGATTCAGTTAGACCAGTCCGTAACTAACGAAAGCGACCATTTTGAATTATGAACTTTTATTGCTATGTAATTTCTCAAAAAATTAAAAAAGTCACATTTTTTTACTCAAAATCTTCTTTTTGTCAATATTTAAACATTTTAGAAGCAGATGCCAAAGACAATGTCACAGTTTCACAGACTTTTTTCATTTATGGCATTTTAAAGCCAAAATATTTACTAAAATGGAATTTATTCTAATATGTGGCATTAGAATTGTATGTTAAGGTGAGACGTACGTAAATCAGCACCTCTAACGGAAAAAAGAGAAAAATTACGTTCGTTGTTATGAGAGTTATCTCCCTTTCACCAGAAAAATATATTTTCAAGATGTCAGGAGATTCCGCCTCGTCGGAAAAATGGACAAATACCGTAGAACTGTTCTCAATGCACTTCATCAAAATTTATCAAAAAGTGTAGTTATTGTACATGAAATATTTTGTCCGAATGAAACAGATCTTCCGTCCCAAGAAAATGAAAATAATTTAGCATGGCGTGATGGTCGGAGAGTGGTTGAGTTGAGTTTACTGGCCGACTAACTAAAAGCTTGTAAGAACTGCTATGCACCTTTTTTTTCACAACATTATAACAGAAAACTATCTTATAAATATACCTTGTTGCAACTGTTCATATAAAAACTTATAAACACTAAAAAAACGGCACAGATCAGAGACTTAAAAATAAAGGAAATTCAATGTTGATAATATGGACTGTGAACACAAAATGAAGTAAAATTATAAACACACGCATGTTTTTTAAAAGGAAACAGATCTTCTGTCCCAAGAAAATAAAAATAATTTAGCATGGCGTGATGGTCAGAGAGTGGTTGAGCTGAGTTTTCTGGCCGACTAACTAATAAGAACTGCTATGCACCTTTTTTCACAACATTATAACAGAAAACTATCTTATTTATAACTTGTTGCAACTGTTTCTATACAAATTATAAACACTAAAAAACGGCACAGATCAGAGACTTAAAAATAAAGGAAATTTAATGTTGATAATATGGACCGCGAACACAAAATGAAGTAAAATTATAAACACACGCATATACACACATACACACGCAATATTATAGATTAAAGCTTATACTATAACGTTGGATTTTTTTTATTTTCATTTCATGTATTGAAATTCAAAAGTAAATAAGGATATACAGTTCCATAAAAAAAGAAATAAATTAGTCTCGCAAAACTACTGACACACTTTTCAATTTTCGACATTAAAGAGAAAAACACTTTTATGTCATGCCTATTAGTGATATGCTTGATTTGATATTCATGCTAGATGATATCTTTCCAGCTAACATTTGGAAGTTCATGATTATAAAAACCGTTGTTTACAGTGCTTTCTTTCACATCCGCAATGCGGTCTATAAATAGAAGTAGAAAGTACTAAGCGTAAAATTTAATTAATATTGTAAATATTGAAACAAAAGTAAATTTTTTTTTGTGGGTGTGGCATAAATTTTGTTAACATAATGTCGGAAATGACTGATTAGTGTAAGAGAGGGAAGAGGGAAAGAAACCTGAATGAAAATCATAAAAGGGGAGAGGGGGTCTTGTAAATGGAAGAACAGGAAGTAAAATGGCAATTTCAAGATGAATGAAAAATGAAAAAAAAAAAAAAATAATAATAAATAAAATGCTTCGCTGGGGCGCAGCTTGATACGACCGCAGAGGTCGAACCCTGAACAGTTGGGGCAAGTATGGACACAACATTCAAGCTTGATACAGCTCTGAATTTGGATTGTTATTAAATATTTGACACAGCATAGGTTTCTGACACAGAAAGAATGTGGTCTAAGAACTTGAATTTTTTTAATTTACCTATTATGGTCCAATGTCCAAAATCAAAATACATGGTTAGATTCAGCATATCAAAGAACCCCATATATTCAATTTTTGTTAAAATCAAACAAAGTTTAATTTTGGACCCCAACTTGGACAAACTTGAAAACTGGGCCCATAATCAAAAATCTAAATACATGTTTAGATTCAGCATATCAAAGAACCCCAAGAATTCAATTTTTGCTAAAATCAAACTAAGTTTAATTTTGGACCCTTTGGACCTTAATGTAGACCAATTTAAAAAACGGGACTTAAAATAAAAAATCTAAATACACGGTTAGATTTGGAATATCAAAGTACCCCAATAATTCAATTTTTGATGAAATCAAACATAGTTTAATTTTGGACCCTTTTGACCTCAATATGAACCAATTTGATAGCGGGGCCCACAAATAAAAAATTTAAATTCATGGTTAGATTCAGCATATCAAAGAACCCCATATATTCAATTTTTGTTGAAATCAAAAAAAGTTTAATTTTGGACCCCAACTTGGACCAACTTGAAAACTGGGTCCATAATCAAAAATCTAAACACATGTTTAGATTCAGCATATCAAAGAACCCCAAGAATTCAATTTTTGTCAAAATCAAACTAAGTTTAATTTTGGACCCTTTGGACCTCAATGAAGACCAATTTAAAAAACGGGACCCAAATTAAAAATCTAAAAACACGGTTAGATTTGGCATATCAAAGAACCCCAATAATTCAATTTTCGATGAAATCAAACAAAGTTTAATTTTGGACCCTTTTGACCTCAATATGAACCAATTTGATAGCGGGGCCTACAAATAAAAAATCTAAATACATGGTTAGATTCAGCATATCAAAGAACCTCATATATTCAATTTTTGTTGAAATCAAAAAAAGTTTAATTTTGGACCCCAATTTGGACCAACTTGAAAACTGGGCCCATAATCAAAAATCTAAATACATGTTTAGATTCAGCATATCAAAGAACCCCATATATTCAATTTTTGTTGAAATCAAACAAAGTTTAAATACTGGACCCTATCTTGGACCAACTTGAAAACTGGGCCCATAATCAAAAATCTAAACACATGTTTAGATTCAGCAAATCAAAGAACCCCAAGAATTCAATTTTTGTCAAAATCAAACTAAGTTTAATTTTGGACCCTTTGGACCTCAATGTAAACCAATTTAAAAAACAGCACCCAAAATTAAAAACCTAAATACACGGTTAGATTTGGAATATCAAAGAACCCCAATAATTCAATTTTAGATGAAATCAAACAAAGTTTAATTTTGGACCCTTTTGACCTCAATATGAACCAATTAGATAACGGGGTCCACAAATAAAAAATCTAAATACATGGTTAGATTCAGCATATCAAAGAACCCCATATATTCAATTTTTGTTGAAATCAAACAAAGTTTAATTTTGGACCCCAATTTGGACCAACTTGAAAACTGGGCCAAAAATCAAAAATCTAAATACATGTTTAGATTCAGCATATCAAAGAACCTCATATATTCAATTTTTGCTAAAATCAAACAAAGTTTAATTTTGGACCCTTTGGACATTAATGTAGACCAATTTGAAAACTGGACCCAAAATTAAAAATCTAAATACACTGTTAGATTCGGCATAACAAATAAATAAATGTGATCAAAGATTTTACAAATCTAATGCGCCATACTGTGCAATTAAAGATTACTTCTTGAAATTTTTCAATATTTGAAATTTGAAAAAAAAATAATATTTGAAGAATAATTCTTTTTAATTTCTGAAATCTGAAATGAGAAAAAATTGGCCCCCCACAATTTCTTTTTATCTCCCCCCCTCCTTTTTCCCCCCAAAAAATTCTTTCCCTCAAGATATGGTCATAATCTCAATTCAAATTTCCAATGGAGTTGGCAACCATAATTACCCATTTAAATTTACCATAGTGCTAACTTAATCTATTTTATAATTTAATTAATAAAAATATAGTGTCAAATCTTTCATATGGATTTTTTTGTAAAAAAAAAAGATGAAAACATTTGCAGATATTTTTACTGGTCTTCCTTTATAAATATGCATTTCTTTAAACATAATTTAAAAGCAGTGTAAGGGAAGTAACCAAAACGTTGTATTTGGATTACCTCCCTTACACTGTTTTAGATTATCTTTATTGTTCATTAACCATTACTTTATACATAATTTAAAAGCAGTGTAAGGGAGATAATTTCAATGATGTATTTGATTTATCTCCCTTACACTGCTTTAAATTATGTTTTGTACTAAAGTATTTGTCCATTAACCAGGACAACCTTGTTTTTCCCCCTTTTTTGCCCCTAATTCCTAAACGGTTTGAGCCATAACCCCCCAAAGCAAATCCTAACCATCCCTTTGTGGTATGGAAACTTGTAGTATAATTTCAGAGAGATCCATACACCGTTCCACAGTTATTGTCTGGAAACTAGAAAATGCTCATTTTTGGCCCCTTTTTGGCCCTTAATTCCTTAACTGTTGGTACCATAACCCCCAAAATCAATCCCAACCTTCCTTTTGTGGTATTTAACCTTATGGTCAAATTTCAAAAAGATCCATTCACTTAAACTAAAGTTAGAGTGCGAAA